CAAATTGTTGTATATTTTGGCGATCGGCAAGCAATCAAATGAGAATTACCGAGATGACAACCATTCGACAAACTCTTTTCTCTTTTTTAGAAAGAAAAAGCGAAAAGCCGCGAAAACTGGAAACATTTCACAGACGAGCACACCTTTTATTACTTTTTATTACCTTTTTAGCATTCTTTATTATTCATTCATTAGTTGAAAGATCGAGAATTTGAAGATTTTGAATCAATAGTTCAATAGCATCATTGTCTTTTGCTTTGTTGATTGTATATCTTCAAACTAGCTTCTCAAAACCGAAATATTATTGGTTAATTGAGTGAGCAGAACAAAGTCTCATCTTCGTTTGCTTGTTTATATCGAATTAGTCATTGTTTTGATCTGTCAGCTCCGAGCCAAACTGATATTTTAGTTACTATTGTTATTATTGAATGATTTGTCTATTGGCCCCCCTCAAACTTTTCAGGTTTGTCATATAAAACAAATGCACAGAGTAGTATGTTTAAAAACAAAATGTAGATTTTTCATAAACATGCAAAAATATTTTGGTTTCAGCTCATTTTGAATGCTTTCTAAAACATGGCATAAAAAAGAAAACTTAAGGTCGCTCAAAAGTAATGGCCCCCCTAAGCGTTTGTGTTGAACAATTTTCATAAATCAATCTTTTGCTAATTTTATAGTTTTATTTCTAATTTATTTTGATTTTTTCAGATATGGGCATAAAATATTATCCACTTGCTGTATGCCAAATTCTTCTCGACAAGGTTTCCTCTGGATCGAGTGTCAAAAGAGCGGCAAGAAGCTTTGGAATCCCATACACTACGGCAAAGCGCTGGAATGAAGCCTACAAGAAGAAAAAGGTTTTAGAGTTCAAGTACAAGAAAGGACGCCACAGAATTACCGACGAAAGATATGACAGAAGGTTTGTTCTCGAAAGTAAATCGAATCCCCGTTTAACGGCATGAGAAATTCTGCAAAATACTTCACATCCCGATGGTGCGCAACCATCCATTTCTACTATAAAGTGAAGACTTGTTGATTCTGGATTATTCAGTCGACATGGCTCAAAGAAGTCGCTTATCTCAAAGAAAAATCAGAAGGAGCGCTTAAGTTTGGCCAAGAATTACCGAAATTGGAACGTGAACGATTGGGCGAGAGTTATGTTTTCAGACAAAATGAAGGTCAACTTCTTTGTACAATGGATTTGACGACCAAAGAACACACGGGACGTTGAGGCGTACAATATTCCAACAGTTAAACACGGGGAGGCTCGGTACTTCTTTGGGGATGTTTTTCGGGTTCGGAAGTTGGTCCACTCATGCGCATAAAAGGCATCATCAACGCCGAAAAGTATGTGGATATCTTGGAAAATTATATGTTGCCTTGTGTTAAGCAAAATTTGCCTAGCAGATGACTTTTCAACAGAGTCGCGACCCCAAACACACAGTCCAACGGACCAAAACTTGGTTCAATCGAAATCGCGTGTCCGTTCTTCAATGGCCTGCTCAGAGTCCCGATGCAAATCCTATTGAACATATATGGAATTACTTGAAGAAACAATGCCAAGGACATAAAGCAAGAAAATTCTGATGATTTGTACCGGAAATTACAAGAGAGTGGGCAAAAATTGATGCAGGAGTTATCAAAAGCTTATTGAATTAATGCCTCAGCGAGTTGAAGCTATTATTGATGCAAAAGGTCAAAATGCAAAATATTAGTTCTTTTTCGATTTTGATTATATTTATACTGCTTTTATTGAATAAATATCCTTAGAGCTCAAAAACTTTTACAGCATTGGCAAGGGGGTCATCACTTTTGAGCGACCTTAATTCTTCTTTTTATGTCATGTTTTAGAAAGCATTCCAAATGAGCTGAAACCAAAATATTTATGCATGTTTATGAAAAATCTACATTTTGTTTTTTAAACATATTACTCTGTGCATTTGTTTTATATGACAAACCTGAAAAGTTTGAGGGGGGCCATTACCTTTGAGCGGCACTGTATGTCGTGGCCGATTATGAATGAGTGGGTCTAGGCGCGTCCAACCATCAAGTATTTGGTACCATTCAACGCAGAATCATTGATAATTATGTTAAATTTTTGAAATTAGAAAGATTGGATAAAGAGAACACAAATTATGGGGCTTCAAAGTTTGCTCTTGAACAAACAGTTTTTTTTGCTCTAATTTTTTTCTTCTTTTCATCAAATCTTGCTAATTTAAAAAATTTAACATAATTCGCGATGATTCTGCGGGTGTTGATACACATTGATGGTTGGACACTCATCTCATAATCCGGCCGGGGTCCAGCCGATTTTGAATGAAACGTTGTAGCGCCGGGAATTTTTAACCTAAACTCACAAATTTGGTACCAATCGACGCAGAATTGAATTCGCTACAAGATGATATAATATTGTCCTCATACATTAAAGGGTTGCTCTACTAGAAAGATTTGCCAAAAATTTCATTCATAATCGGCTACGACATATATATATTCGACAAAACATTGAACATTCAAAGACACAAATTGTTGTATATTTTGGCGATCGGCAAGCAATCAAATGAGAATTACCGAGATGACAACCATTCGACAAACTCTTTTCTCTTTTTTAGAAAGAAAAAGCGAAAAGCCGCGAAAACTGGAAACATTTCACAGACGAGCACACCTTTTATTACTTTTTATTACCTTTTTAGCATTCTTTATTATTCATTCATTAGTTGAAAGATCGAGAATTTGAAGATTTTGAATCAATAGTTCAATAGCATCATTGTCTTTTGCTTTGTTGATTGTATATCTTCAAACTAGCTTCTCAAAACCGAAATATTATTGGTTAATTGAGTGAGCAGAACAAAGTCTCATCTTCGTTTGCTTGTTTATATCGAATTAGTCATTGTTTTGATCTGTCAGCTCCGAGCCAAACTGATATTTTAGTTACTATTGTTATGATTGAATGATTTGTCTATTCTTATGCAAATGTGTCCTCCCCTTTTATTGCCGAGAAGGGGCGGTCCTTGGGATTGCCTAGGAGGACAAATGAGACTCTCATTTGGAGTCCCCCCTTCCCCTTACACTTATTTGTAATCTATTCATCTTATTGTATTACTGTAAATAAAGATACGTATCTTCCGGGTCTATGCAACTGCAGTACAGGTCGGTCATTTCACAGGGACTCCCCTCTAATACGTTGGAGGAGTTGAGTTGGGCGGGGGGGGGGCGGGAACAAACGCCACTCTCTTAACCCCAAATTCTACCCCTTCCCTTTCCTTAGGGACAAACTGACGATTAAACGCTTCTGGAATTGGGAACAAAGCGATAGGGGCGGGGGAAATAGTGTTCTGTAGTGTTATTTGTGGACGGGGGGCAAGACTTCTCCCCCTGGGGGTCTCTGAAATGACCGATCTGAACCCGTGCAAATAGGAGTTACGTTGGAGGAGTTGGGTTGTCGGGGTGTTAGAGATGGCGGGATATCAAAAGGGATTCACTCTCTTTAACTTAATCCAAATTTCTAGTCCACATACCTTGGAACGAATAGATCTAACAATTCAAATTCTTAAACCTTTTCATTATTGATAGGCCTAAGAAGTGAGGCCTAAGAAGTCTGAGTTCTGTTTACCTATTCGAATCGGAAGTGCTTGCGAGTTTATTTTGATTGCCAGCTTTGCAAAGGTCATTCCGAAAACAGGAAATAATTTTTGGGAGTCGATTCTTATCACAAATCAACACAGAAATCAAAAAACCCAAATCAAATCGCTTTTTTTGTGTTGTGGAATGAAATTTTTGCGCATTTCTTGAAGCTGGAAAAGGATTTTGATTTGAATTTATCATTATTTTGAATTTCTCATTTTCATCTCGCGACACAAACTTTTCCTTTTGACTTAAAGTATTTTTGAATCAAAAAAATCTATTCCCCAAATCTATTGTTGACGACAAAAATATGAAAGAAAGTTGTATAAGAAAGTTGAACTCAAGAAAGTTCAACAAGTTTCATATTTTTGTACTTTTTGCTTTGTTGACCAAGTTAAAAGACTGAAATCAGCATTTCATTTTTTCGGTGACACGAAATTTTTGGTCTAAAAAGATAAGAAACTAACTATAGAGTGGGCTAAAATGAGAATTTTGAAATTCTATGGATTTTCTCATGTCTCTAATCCAAAAAAAGAGCGCCCATCACTATAAGAAGTTTGCCAAAAAGGGTGCGTTTTGGGTGAGCACAAAGCACACAACGAACCTCCTCCTCACATCTTTTTGCTTTCAGTTTTTCAATGCTTTTCAATTTCTTTTTTGATAAATGAATACTTTTTGATATCATAATTCTATTTTGGATATATCAATCGATTTTTGAACGGTTTTTGAACGGTTTTTTCTTTTTCCCCATGTTGTTTGAGGAATAGATTTAACGATCGGTTTCATGAGCTGAAAATAAAACATTGGAAAACATTGGAAAACATTGGAAAACATTGAGAATCTTATTTCAATTCCAGAACTCTAAATTTAATGTTTTCAATTCCAATAAAACATTAGAAAACATTGGAAAACATTGAGAATCTTATTTCAATTCCAGAACTCTAGGTTTAATCTTTTCAATTTCAATAAAACATTAGAAAACATTGAGAATCTTGTTTCAATTCCAGACTCTAAATTTAATGTTTTCAATTCCAATAAAACATTAGAAAACATTGAGATCCTTATTTCAATTCCCAGAACTCTAGGTTTAATGTTCTCAATTCCAATAAAACATTAGAAAACATTGAGAATCTTATTTCAATTCCAGAACTCTAGGTTTAATGTTTTCAAAATGAAACTCTTCAAAACTTTTTCTAGTTATTCATTTGAGAAACACTTTTCCCATAGCTCGATTCTTTTCCCTTTCCAATTTTAATCCGATCACAAAGTTCAAATCATTTGTCAGTTTGACAAAAAAAGACCAACTTTATATTTCAAAACTAGATTCCTGTCCTATCCCTTTTTTTATTTGATAAATCTGTTTGTTTAATATTTAGGTGATGAAAGAAAAAGCATCGATTTCATCGGATTTGGGAGAATTCTCAACGAAAGGACAACTTTTGTTGGGCGTCAACGATGTGCCAAAGCCATTTCATGCTCTATTTTTAGCGTTTCAGGTAAATTCTTGCTAGTTAACTTTCAATAAGCAAAAGCCTTTGCTAAATGAGCCATAGAACATTTTGTAAAATGATTCTGAATCGATTCAAATTCGCAAACAAGTTTTGGCCTCTTTCTATAAGCCTTTCTTGGTCCATTTGCGTTTGTAATTACATATTTCTTTCTTTTTTGAAAGATCTATTTCACTTGTTTTCTGTGTGCACATACAAACGCGTTTCATCTGGCATAGAACAAAGTAAGATATGCTGACAATGTCTAGCAGATCCAACTGTAGAACTGGCATAGAACACGGCATAGAACAAAGTAAGGTATGCTGGCAATGTCCAGCAGATCCAAATGTCCAGCAGATCCAACTCATGAACAGTTCTGCGTCACTTGTGAGCAAATCTACAGTAGTGTCACGGAGTTTTACAGTAAAGTAGAGTACTTGACTTAAGCTCTAGCTTTTAGCAATCGATGGTCGCTCTCTCTGGCTACTTGATATTCCCATATCTGGTTGCGGATACTGTTTGTGCTGGTTCAGCCGCTGCTGGACTCAGGTAAATCTCAAAATCAATCAAAAGCAGAAAGTTTTCAGGGTAAACTTGATCGCAGCCACGTTTGTCTCCGGTGGAATTGCGACTTTTATCCAGAGCACATTTGGATTACGGTAATTGAAAGGCTTTTATCCACTTAATGACTTCTTCAGATTAGCCATTCTCCACGGGACTTCACTAGCGTTTTTAGCACCGATACAGGCTTACAAGTAAGCTTTGCATACAATCCTTTGTATTCCTTTGTACTTTGTGCTTTGAATGTGTAAACACACGCTTTCTGGTGTATTTGAGTTTTAGTGGTGGGCCAGATACGTGTGTTTACGGGATGAATTCTTTGACAAAGTCCACGACTTTGATAAAGGACCGATTCTGTGTTCATTTGTGTTCAAACGACTCATTCTGTGTTCATTAATGAGCCAGAACGAGTGTGTTTTCATTTTCTAGCACAAAATATTGTTTTATTTGCATTTACATTTACATTATCAAAGTCTATGACTTATTTTCAGAAGTTTAAATGTAAATTGCACGGCTGGTGAGGATGATTTTGTGCCGGAAGCAGAGTGGCAAGCAAGACTAGCTACAGTGGGTTTTTCTCGATTCAAAAACTGAATATCTTTATTTGCAATCAAAGACTAAATAGACCCTAACGGCTTTATTTACTAAGATTTTCATCAGATAATCAAATATCTTGTTGATCTAGTTATCAGGAAGTCTCCTCATCGCTTGCCTTGTCTTCGTGCTCATCGGCGCCACAGGGGCTGTTGGATTCTTTGCGAGACATGTTGGACCGATCACGATTGGTAAGAAAGAAAATATTTAGAGTATGAAACTGAAGGAGATTCTGAAGATATTTACGCAACAGCTTTAAGCAACAGCTCTTTACCCAACAGCTCTTTACTCAACAGCTCTTTACCCAACAGCTCTTTACGCAACAGCTCTTTACGCAACAGCTCTTTACGCAACAGCTCTTTAGCTCGCACAACAGCTCTTTACCCAACAGCTCTTTACCCAACAGCTCAATTTTAGTCCCCTTGCTAACCCTGTTGGCTCTATCGACTGTGCCGACAATCGAAGAAAGACTCTCATCGCATTACATGGCTATTGTGTAAGTGTTTTTAATTATTTTAGATTTTAGATTAGATCGAATTTCTAAAGATAATTCGAAAGATCTAAAGATCTAATGATATCTTACTGTTTTTGCATTTTCTAAGAACATTTTCAGTGAACTCATCTTTCTGATCATCTGTGCCGTCTTTCTTGAGCATTTTCAGGTGAATTTTCAGTTCTATTTCAATGAGTTTTCATTTCTAAGCAAAACTACAAACACTTTATCTACTTTTTTTACAAAAACTCATCAACTTTTCATCAACTTTTTTCACTATTAAGGTCCCAATCCCGTACTATTCGTTGGAAAAGCGCCGCCTGCAATTCACAAAAACACCATTGTTTGGCCAGTTTCCGGTAAAATCCTTCGTTTCAATAAGCTTTTCAATATTTCTATGTTTACCTTCAAGACAAACTTTCTTGTTTTCAGTATCTCTTATCTCTGGGACTCGCCTGGTTTCTGTGTTATTTGTTATCGAGTTTTTCACTAATATCCGATGATTCACCGGCGTCCACAAATAGAAATGCTACGAAAGGACTCATTCAGAGTGCGCCTTGGGTCAAAGTCCCATATCCTGGTGAATTTGAAGAGATTTTTGGATTTTTAAGAGAGAAAGACAAAAGTAGACAGAAAGACAAGACAGAAAAGAGAAAGACAAAAGTAGAATGTGGCTAAATGAGATAAGCTAAACGATTTGACGCAGAATTTCACGCTGATTCCGAATTTGCTTTTGTTTTTTTCAAAATGGCTTTCTAAAAAAAAGTTAGACGTGTTTTAAGTTTTATGGTGAAAATGCGAAAATTTTTGGGGTTTTTTTGGCCTAATAGGCTTAGGCGTTATAAGCGCCTTTATAAGCGTTATCTCACAGGCTTGAAACTGATCGTCTGATGATGGTCTAGTGGATAAACTGATGACCTAGTGGATAAAACGCTTGCATACAAAACGAAGGCTAATTCTTTCTACTCGGGTTCTCCTTCTTGGACAAAACTTTTGTTTTGCGTTTTCCTTTTGCTTATCTCATTTGACCACATCCTACTATTATCTTTCCCTTGTTAGATTCAAATATAGTAGCTAGCAAGCTCCCAAGCAACACCACAATCATTTAGGCGAATACGGTGGCTATAAAGTGAACGCAGCACTTTGCATGGGTTTTGTGGCCTCCGTTCTTTCGTCAGTCATTGAGAATGTCGGTTCTTATAAAATGGGTGCACGCGTCTCTCATCAAGGAAATCCCCCAGTGGATAATGTGAATCGAGCAGTGATTGTCGAGGGTTTAGGCAGTATGATCGCTGCTTCACTTGGTGTCTCCACTGGAGTCACCACGTATGCGGAGAATATTGCTTTGCTGCATATTACAAAGGTTTGCAATAGTTCAAGGAATTATAGAAGACTTATAGAAAAAAAAGCAGAAATGCTTTTTGAATGCGCTCTTTTTCAGGTAGCTTCCCGAACAACCGTTCAGCTTGCCGGAATCCTCTCGATAGCACTTGGATTGTTCACAAAAGTTGGTCAAACTATGTGTTAGTTTGTGAAATTATAAGATAGAATATCGGATCTTAACTTAAACCCTGATCGACAGTGATTTGAACCAGGAATTCGAACCAGGGATCATACGACAGTAGATCCGAAACAGAGATCCGTACGACAATGGATCCGAACCAAAGCCTGACGCACTAACGCACTATCTACTAAGCTAACGAGGCAGATTGACCCAATTGTTCTAAGAACGACCTATTTCAGCCTTCAGTTTCAGTTGAAATTCCAGTTAGCCGCTCTCCTCGCTTGTGTCCCCGATCCACTCATCGGAGCGATTTTGTGCCTTGGAATGAGCATGATCGCTGGAGTGGCTTTATCGAATTTAAGGGCAAGTATTAGATTTCCTTCTTCTTTTCATTCCTACTCTGAAAATCAATTATTACACTCGATTTCAGGTAGTAAATCTGCAACAAACTCGAAATCTGGCAATCATGGGCTTAGCTGTTCTCATCGGAATGGCTGTACCAATGCATTTCGAGAAGAAACCAATCAAAACCGGTAATATCAAACCAATTTTAGTAACGATCTTTAAATCAATCGGAATTACAGGCAGTGAAACGTGGGATGAGGTGCTGAATATGCTGTTGAGGATACAAATGCTCATCGGGGGACTCTTTGCCTTCACTTTGGACAATTTGGTGCCAGGTGGGAATCGAAAAGAATCGAAATTGAAATCGGCTTTGTAGTTTTTGCTTGTGAAGTAGAAACACACCCTTTCTGGCACATTCAGTTCCGTTTTCACACAGTTTTCTCAGTTTGATTGCGCGAGTAAAAATATAGAATGTGCCAGAATCGATGCGTTTACATTTGAAGCATACAGGACACTTATAAGAATTAATACGGCACATAAGCACACCTTCTGACCAGGCTCGTCGCCAGGACTTCGGTGTTTTTGAGAGAATCGCTAGAGCTTCATCCAGAAGCGCCAATCAAAACATCTAACCACCGCCAATCGATTCTCCGTGTCGGTTTACATAGGACAAAGCTTAAACCCGAGTTAAAGCTTGGGAAGCGAGCTAGAGGTGCTCAAAGTTGAATTGTCCCGCCTCTCCTCAACTTTAGGCCCCGCCAGCTCGCTTCACAAGCTTTAAATTGGGTTTAAGCCTATGTAAACCGGAGAATCGATTGGCGGTGGTTAGAGGGATTGATTGACACTTCTGGACGAAGCTCTAGCTCTAGCTTCGTCCAGAAGCTAGAGCTCGATTCTCCCAAATCCCAAATCCGGCCCTGCTTCTTCTGAAGAATTGAAGAGACAAAACTCGAAATTGCAGGCGCTTCTCGAAGTGATCGTGGCTTGTCGACCGAATCGAATGAAGAAGAGTTTCCAATTGATGGATTTGATCTACCCGATTATGTTGATAGGTTGCTTAATAGTTACATTCTTTTAAATATTATTTTTTTAATATTATTCAGATTTTTGAATATGCTCCCTTTCCTTCGGTGTCTCCCATTTCTACCATCGAAAAGTCATCGGATACGAAGGGAGAAAGAATCTCGATTGAATTCGTTCAAGTTATAGTGAAGATTTGATGTATAAAGTTCTAAATTTATAGGATTTATAGGGTTTGATTTGAAATATTTTGGATTTACAATTGAAAAGTTGATATTCAGTTGGATTTTTTTGGATTTTGAGCATTTTATTTATGGGAAAATGTCGATAAAAGCGAAGGAAAGTTGTTTACAAAACGGCTCAACATTCTTGGAATATAGTTCACAAGGAAAAATCAAATAGATATCAAATTTCGAAGTTTTATAAGTTTTTATAACTTTAAGTTTAAGTTTTATAACTTTATAAGGTTTATAAGTTTAAGTTTTATAAGTTTAAGTTTTATAAGTTATAAGTTTTATAAGTTTAAGTTTTATAAATCTAATAGTTTCAAGTTATTGTTGGAAAGAAAAGAAAGATTTTCCTGCTTTTTCAAATGGCTTATATTTCTCCATATCAACTTATGTAATAAATTCATTAAATTTAGAAATTTCTTTCAAAATTCTTTCAAAACTCTTTCAAAAGTCAAACCATTTCCCGTAAAAAACTAAAAGAAAACTAGAAAGCCATAAAAAAGCTAAAAGAAAACTGTCCAAAAGAAAAGAATATCGAAGCGATAAGAAATTTCTTTAGCGCATTTCACCCCTATCACCAGAAAAAGATCGATTTTTTGGTCCGACTGAATATTCGATTTCGTGATCATTTCCCCAAATAAAGATTCAATAAAACTAAAGCTATTCAATCGATTGCCTCAATCAATTGTCTCAATCGATCGTCTCAATCGATTTCATTCCCAATTTCTCTCTCGTCTCTTCTCGAGAAATGACAGGTATTTTTCTTGGCCGATTTCCCCTTTTTCTTTCTTTTTCCCTGAAAAAAACAGATTTTCCCCGTTTTTTTGATGACTAATTGATCAATTGCACGTTAGATTTCAATATGATTTTAATTTAATATCATTTATGTCATTTGTATCCCTTCAATTGAATTTTTTTACACTAAAATGACCCAGCTATTTACCCAGCTTCAGCCACCTCATTTTTCCATTTTCATTTAATTTTTTTGATTAAATTTTCAAGGAAATTATAAGTTTTATCAATAAATTTAAAATCCCTGGAAAATTTTGAGTAATTAGTCATCGCTTTTATCGCGTTTTATTTCGTTTAGTCCAGTGGGTAGCCTTCGTCAGAAAAAATGATAACGAGTTTGGAAAGTTTTTATCAAATTGCTTTAATTTTCAAAATGTCTTTCTAACAGTTTGCTTAAAATTGATCAAAAATGAAAACTTTAACAGTTTTTGTTATTTTAAAAGCTTTTGGATAATCCTCATTGCTAGAAAAAGACTTAAAGATAGTCAGACAAGTCAAGATCTTGAAAAGTAGACTTCTAAAGAACTTTTGAATAGAATTTTATTATTAGATATATAAAAATATGATTAAATTGATTAAGAACTCATAAACTTACTTGCTTTAGTAATAAAATGTCCGCTCAATCGATCAACACGTGTTTGTGAATATTGTTTACATTGATGACCCCCCTTTTTGAGACAACAATTTACAATTCCTTTCTTCGTTTTCTTTTTGTTTTCTTTTCATTTTCCCCAATCTTTTCATACAAATTATCAAAGAATTATTCAATATTCAAAAAAATACTCTAGCCATTTTTAAGTATTAGATAGTATTGGTAAATGATATTAGATGGTATTGGTTTTGAGACAACAATTTACAATCCCCTTCTTCGTTTTCTCTTCGTTTTCTCTTCATTTTCCCCAATCTTTTCTTACAAACAATCATTCAATATTCAAGAAAATACTCTAACCATTTTTAAGTATTAGATGATGTTGGTAAATGATATTAGATGGTATTAGTTTTGAGACAACAATTTACAATTCCCTTCTTCATTTTCTCTTCCTTTTCTCTTCATTTTCCCCAATCTTTTCTTACAAATTATCAAACAATTATTCAATATTCAAAAAAATACTCTAGCCATTTTTAAGTATTAGATGGTATTGGTAAATGATGCTGATTCTTCTTCAGAGGCCCAGCGAAAACTCTATCAAACACACTACATCGAGTATCGACAACAGAAATGTGATTTCACAGTGCCCAGGTGAGTAATGGGATTAATTCAAGGATCTTCTAAATAGTTGGCTTTATCTGGAACAGTCCAAGCATCGATAAAAAAGAATTTATTCAGCCATTTATTCAAAATGTCAAAATATTTCTTTTCCAGAAGATATCAACACCTTGAATACAAAAGCGGCGGAGCACAAGGATGGGTTGTGTAAGTGAAAATCGAAATAGCCAGAATAGCCGGCTTTATTCATCTTTCAGCTGTGCCATCGACACAGTTCTCAATCGTCGAGTCGCAATCAAGAAGATGAGAAATCCGTTTGTGATGGAGATCTCAGCGAAGAGAACTTATCGAGAGTTTATCCTACTTGAAGCATTTAAACACCCAAATGTGAGTTGATTATGGATCAGTCAAGCAGTTAACTGAAAAGCTGAAAACTGAAAAGCTAACTAGCTGAAAAGCTAACTAACTGAAAAGCTACAACAATTCATTTCCAGATCATTGAATTGTTGAACGCTTTCTCTCCACAAACCTCGGCAAGCCAGCTGAGCGAAGTCTACTTCGTGATGGAGCTCGCCGATTTCAATCTTGGACATGTGCGTTTTAACACTTTTAACATTAACATATAAGTTTAGCAAAAAAGAAGAATTTGTTCTACAAATCTTTGTCTTACAAATTTGTCTTATAAATCTGTCTTACAAATCTGTCTTACAAATTTGTCATACAAAACTGTCTCACAAATCTTATTCTAGGTGATCCGAGACAAACGCCTCCCCCATCCGCATCTCTCATTTCTCGTCTTTCAACTCCTCTGCGCCATGAAGCACCTCCACAAATCGGGAATCATTCATAGAGTCAGTTATTTGTCATTTATCTAAGGTCTAGTTCTAGATTTGAATTTCAAAAGTTTGTTTTCAGGATCTAAAACCAGAAAACATTGTTGTAAATGAGGATGTGACGCTGAAAATTCTCGATTTTGGACTTGCGAGAAGAGCCGCTTTTGACACTCAAATGAGAATGACAAATTATGTGGTGACTCGGTGAGTAAATCATAAATCAATGCAAATTTTAGCACATCTTTGTTTAACTTAAAGTTGGCCATAGGTGGTACCGAGCCCCAGAGGTGATCCTCGAGATGGGCTACACCGATAAAGTCGACGTTTGGTCGATTGGATGCATTTTCGCCGAAGTTTTAACCAGGTTGGTTTCAGTAAAACTGATATTTACATAGTTACGATCAATTTTAATATAAAAATCATTAGAAAATCATTAGAAAATCTTTAGAAAGATCCTTTTCCCGGGCACTGATCACCTTGATCAATGGAGAAGCATTGTGAGCAAAATGGGCTCTCCTCCGCAATCGTTTGTCGACAAAATGTCAAGACATGTTGCTATGTAAGAAATTTTATCGTAAATTTTGACTTTTTATATATGTTGCTCTAGGTTTGTTCGAAATCAGCCGAGAAAAGAAGCGAAAAGCTTTAGAGAGCTCATTCCGGATGAGTACTTTCCACGAGAGACTGAGGATCCAAGGCACAGCTTGACGGGTGAATAGGCATTTATATTTACTTGATTTGGCATATATAGTGTTCTACTTAATGCATCTTTCAATACCTTAATGCATAAGACAATACCGTAAATACTCTAATAGAACGCCAGAATGCTAGGCGTCTAACTTTGTCGCAGTCTAACTTTGAGCGTCCCGTTCTCCACGCTGGTTTAAGCTACAATGTCCACTTGGGTGTCAAATGATAGCCCTTGAAATCTAGTATTGATATTTTGCTATTAAAATTGTAGAAAGTGTTTTAAAAAATAGGGTCTCTTTTGACGGACTGTGTTTAATTCGAAATTTCAGAAAATTCAGACGATTTTTGAGAGAAATTTAAAGTGGGATTTCGGTTGATTCTGGCGATAGATTGCTAGAATTTGCTTTGAAAAGACTTGCTCTTTACTTGTAAAGTCTTAAATTTCATATAAAACCCTATAAATTTAGAACTTTATACATCAAATCTTGAGACATCCATATGTGGCTGGGTGGTTGAAAGTGATAGTTTTTTTTTTTGGATCAGCGTTGGATAGTTTTTTTGTTAGCTTAAAAGCTGTTAGCTGAATTTGAGTACTGAAATGGAAAAAAAGTCACATTTCAGCCGACCATGCGAGAGATTTGGTGGAGAAAATGCTGGCGATCGACCCGGATGAGCGGATCTCCGTTGATCAAGCATTGAGACATCCATATGTGGCTGGGTGGTTGAAAGTGAGGAGAAATTGAAGAGTTGAAGAAGCTTTGTCTTGTTACAGCAACATGATGTCAATCTGCCAATCACTACTCATCGATACGATGATAATATTGAGACTGAGGAGAGGAGTATTGCTCAGTGGAGAGGTTTGCACAAAAATCCTAAGCTTTAACTTTGCGCTTTGCACTTTGTACTTTGTGCTCTTGCAAACGCTTTCTGGTACACTAAACTTTTAGAGATTGACAAGAAATACAGATTTCTGTGTGCCAGAAAGTGTGGGTTTATGAGAACGGAAGGAACGGAGCTGATTGGAGTAAAATAGGAAAACCAGCTAAAGAAATGAAACCTTATCAATGAAACCTTATGAAATGAAACCTCCCCCTTGTGTTTCCTTCTTTCACTCGCAAATTAACGTACTGAATAGCTCAGTGGTTAGGGTCTAGAGCCTGGAAGGCAAGGGGTCTAGGGTTCGATCCCGTCCCCGGAAATCCACTTTTTCTTTTCCAATTCTTTCACTTCTTTATTACAGTTCTGATCTTTAACGAACTCGAACGCTACAAGGAAACTCACGATGTTTATGGGACTCAAGGAACAGCTGTTTAAAACATCTTCTGTTATTTAATTTCTCAATCTTCTGTTATTTATTACTTATACATTTCAAAATAAGCTAGATTTCGAATAAATTTGTGGGTTTTTTGGGAAGAAAAACACGGAAATCTTCAACCCGACAGTGTGCCCATTTAGTCTATTGGCTAAGGGGCTTGTCTCTCGGTCAATTGATCGCGAGTTCGATCCCTTTGTCGTTCATCCAATGATGGTGTTTCAAGACGGGAATGATTCATGTGATTACTTTCCCATTCTGACTGAGGATTAAACTTTTATTTCTTTGAAATATTTACATTAATGGAATGTTCAAAGTTCTAAAAAATGGCTACTCGAAAATTTGTACCCTAATCGGAATTGTTTTCTTTTCATTTAAGACAATATCACAATGATTGACTTATAAAAAAAATCGAGATTTAATTTAAAATAAAGAAAATTTTAATAAAATAAGTATTCAGGCAAGAGCCGGACGGAAAAAAAGCACCGAGATTTCGAAAAAGAATATTTAGGGCAAGGATTTGGAAGATTCGGTAAAGAAAAAGATTTGGTAAAGCCCGGTAAAGAAAAATGGAATGTTTAAAATGGAGAATCTTATTCTTATCTTATTGATTTCATGATTGAATAACTTTTAAACTCAACAGAGCTAAAGATATTCAGCTAAAGATATTTTTTGACGATTGAATACTGGTTTATGGTTAGACAAGAGGCTGGGAGTTTACTTTTTAACCGTATTGATAAATTGGAAGTGGTAAAGATAATGTTTCCCAGTGACAACTAACTAGAAGCTAACGCCAAGGATTGCTTATAAATCGTTTAAAAAGTCAGAGAAAACTACAATTATCCCCCTATTTCCCCTTCTTTGGTTTTGTCTCTTTAATCTCTTCTTGAGCTTTCTCTGGATCGGCGAATGGATCATCTTTAGTGCCTTCTTGAACGATTGGAGCGATCATGTTCACGAATTCCTCATAATCAATCTAAGATTTAGTGTAAAAGATGATAGCAAGGATAGCAACTGAACTAGACCTGCTTCACGAGTCCGGGCAAAATTTTCAGATACTCTGCCTCGCTCTTCGATTTTTTACTGCCCAAAGCTCCTTCGAGCATGAAACCCAGTTCCCCCGCAAGCCCTTGTTCTAAGCTTCATTTTGATACTAAACATGGCTAGGTTCTGTTTTTCCATTCTTTAGATTTCGATCAATCTTTCGCCGGACTCGACAAACTTAACGAGTCCAGAAAAATTTTTATTTAAAATGATCAAAATCTAAAGAATGGCAAAACAGAAGCTAGCAATGTTTAGTATCAAAATGAAGCTTAGATTAAGGGCTTGCAGGGGAACTGGGTTTCATGCTCGAACGAGCTTTGAGCAGTAAAAAATCGAAGAGCGAGCCAGACTGTCTGAAAATGTTGTCCGGACTGGTCTATTCTGGTCTAATCTAAACAACTGCTGCTGTTGTTTAGATCTAAGCAACCAAACTGTCCCACCTGCTCATCTCCATCTTTATCCACTTCTCGGATAATCTCATCAACTTCTTCTTCTGTAAATCTCTCTCCCATCGTTGTCATGAAATGTTTAAACTCTTGAGCGGTGATATATCCATTACCATCTTTATCGAATACTCTAAAAACCTTGATCTAGACATCTAATACTTCTTAATTACTTGAATGCTAATCGTATCAATTCTTGATCTGTCTCTTTGTTCATTTCTTTCATCATCTTGCAGAACTCGCCGAAATCGATTTTACCATTCCCATCAACATCGTACTCGTTTACCTAGAAAGATCATAACGATTTGTTCTTTACCAGACGTTGAAGTTAGACACAAATCTTCAATCTAGACAAATCTTCTATTTAGACGAATCTTCAAATCACTGACCATATTCAGCAACTCCTCCTCTGTCGGATTCAGTCCCAATGTCCTCATCGCTACTCCCAACTCTTTAATGTTCATCGTTCCATTTCCGTCTTTGTCAAACATCTATAAAACTTGTATTTTGTAAAATCAATCTTTAAAACCTTAAATGCTTGAGCGAATTCTTGGAGTTCTTCCTGTGTGAACTCTTCCGCTTCACTCCCACTCTGATTCGTGTATTGACGATGCATTTCTTTACCGGGTGTCCCTGAAAAGAAAAATTAGGTAACTCTAGCAAATAGGAATTGTTAAATGGTAATACTGTAAATGGTAAAGAATTGACTAAAGAATCAATCATTTTCTTTAAAGAATCAATTCTTTAAAGAAAATGCTTTGTTTTTGGATCTTGAAAACGAGCATTTATTGGAGCAGTCCCGTAACGGGGATAATTGGAATTTTAGATTGACATTTGGATGGTTTATGGTGACAGATACACTAACAAGAAATGGGAGATCCATTTAAGTGCACAAGATGAATATTTCATTCAGAAAAGAATCAAATACTTGACAAAAAAAAGCCTTAAGAGAACCGAAAAGGATTCCGACTGGGATTTGGAAGTGAACTGAAAAAGCTGGACTGATTGAAACACAGAAAATTCACTTACACCCACTCGAAAAGAAAGGTTTCTTTGGAAAAGATATTCAGGGGAAATCTTGAATGTTATTTGAAAAGAATTTTGCTTTTCTGGACAGTTTAATAAAAGGTGTTTTGAGGGGATTCTGGATTGTTGATTGATTGTTGATTGATTGTTGATTGATTGTTGATTGATTGTTGATTGATTGTTGATTGATTGTTGATAAGATGAGCCACTTAAATTCAAAGCGTTCAATCGTTAATGTATTCTAGAAGGATCAATTGTATTGACCAGTTTGTTTAAAGTTTAACTTTTGAAAATTGCAAGATTATAAGTGATTTTTCTGAAAAATTACTTAATTTTGATCTTTCAAAAGATCGAAATTGATTGAAGGGGAAAAGGAAAGGGATGTGCCGACAAAACGATCAAAAACAGATGCTAGATAGGGTGGTTCTCATGCTCTTTGATCGAAAAAGGGGAAAGTGAGAACCCTCGAGAGTTTTAGACTTTAAATATTTGCAAATTTGACAAAGACATGGTAAAGACAAGGATTGAAAGGATTGAAAGAAAAAGGATTGAAAGGATTGAAATCGATTCTATGATTTATGAGGGTAAAGCTTTAAAATCAGAAACCGATTTGGTTGTACTTGAAGCTCTAATCTTGAAGGTTCTCAAAGCCTAATCTTGAAGGTTCTCAAAGCCTAAGCTTGATGGTTCTCAAAGTCTAAGCTTGAAGGTTCTCAAAGTCTAAGCTTGAAGGTTCACAAAGTCTAACTTGAAGGTTAATTTGGTCCAAAGACAAAGTAAAGTAATTCTAAGAGAGTAAATAAGTAAGAGAAAAAGTAAGTTCGTTTCCTTTTGAGCCAAACAAGTCATCTTGAAACCAAAACGAAACAATCAGCAATGAGGAAATGAAAACCTCGAAAAAATTCGATACTTAGAAGACTGGATGAAGGAGAAGAACACCAAAAAGTAAGGGATCTTGGCTGAGGGAAAAGGAGGGGTTACGGCTTTTCGGAGTAGAGAAGGGGGAGGGGAGAGACCACCAAGGAGAGAGCGGAACAACCCCCATTCCCCTTCCCCTATGCCGTTGGATTCACATCTGGACATCCAATAAATTCAAAATAAACCACATAATAAACAAATCGACTAAATTCGACTTTTTGAGCCTAGATTTCGTGAGAGCCAAGAGATTTGGGAGATTTGGGAGATTCGATGCTATTATAGTGCTTATTTCAGATAGGAAATCTAGATATTCAGCTAATCCAAGTATTTTAAGGGGTATAAGTACTATAAAATTATCTGATTTCTTTAAATATTAACCTAAATCTAGACTCACCATTTTCAATAGGACTAGCTGATTGAAAGATGCCGACCGCGTGAATGCATCGACCTGCAAATATACATAAATAAATTTCACATGAATCAAAGTAGAAGTCAGTCAATTGCTTAACTGAATATCATTAAACATTAAACATTAACAATTCATTAACATTAACTGAATATCATTAACGGGGTGGGACAAATGCGACCTTTTTTTGCGCACCTTTTTTTTGCTGGAAAAGGCCTTAGGAAAGGTCGTAGAGCTTCAAAAATATTTCCATGTAAGGGAATCGTATGCGTAGATTCCGAATTTCGACAAATCACACCTCGCAGACACGTCAGATTTGGGCTAAAAGGCAAAAACTGTGGAAAAGCGTTAAGTTGCGTAGTTTTTGCTTTTTAGCTCAAAATTAACGTGTCAGCGAGGTCTGATTTGCTTTGATTTGTCGAAATTCGGAATCTACGCATACGATTCCCTTATATGGAAATATTTTCGAAGCTCTACGACCTTTCCTAAGGCCTTTTCCAGCAAAAAAAAGGTGCGCAAATGTCCAGGTGCGCAAAAAAAGGTCGCATTTGTCCCACCCCCATCATTAACAATTCATTAACATTAACTGAATATCATTAACAATTCCTGTTATCGGATATTACGATATCAAATAAGCAATGTCCGAATAAAACAAAAATAAAACAAAAATAAAACAAAAATAAAACAAAACTAAAACAAAACTAAAACAAAACTGTAAATAAGAACACATACCTCGGGCTAACACCGGCTGGATTGGTCCCTCGACTCCATTCGGTTGATTTCTAAATAAACATATCCACTTAGATCAATAATCCAGAGTTATTTTTAATCAATTTGCCTAGCTAAACACCTACAATTCCTTTCACAATTCACAATCTTACAAAGTTCTCTTACTTTCCCAATCCATTTCTCGTCAGCAATCTCAGAAGCTCGTGTTTGGTACACAAAGAATTCCCCCCACAAATAAATGTTTAACAAGAAAACGATGGGATCTCTATTTCATCCCGCTTCTCATCTCTTTTCATTTTCTTTAATCCAATGAAATCTGATCCCCGACTTTTATTTCTTTCTCATTTTCTTATTTCTCAATCCACCTCAATGAAAGAACAAAAACTATGAGTTAGAAAAGATTTTTAGATAAAATATTTGTAAAACAGAAACAGTAAGAAGCAACTAACAAAAGCAGAGAGTAAGATCGAATATAAAGATAAAACCATTCTCCTAGTCTTAGCAATACAAGGTAGACTGTAGCTGTAACCACCGATGGGTGGTTACAGCTTTTCAGCTTTTCAGCTACAGTCTACCTTGTATTGTTACTCTTTATCACTTAATTTCTCACCCGTACTCCTCATTTTTTCATAACAAACCTAAGTGGATACCTTCTGGTCGCACCTCGTCTTTCGAGTGTCCTATAGAATGTGGTTCGCAAATAATCAAGGATCGGACCCATTTTTGGGGTTTTTTTTTTGCTTTAAAGCCGTCAAGTACCAGATAGAATTTATCAATCAAATTTATCAATGTTAGAAATTTGATTTATTTCATAGAAATAAGCAATACTTGAAGAGGCAATTGATTTGAATTGATTTGAATAGTAAGATTGTGTTGTAACGAATAGAGCTAAATAGTGAGCTTTTTTTTGGAGATAAATTTTTGTGTTATGGGAAAGATGATCAAGTTTTCCCTCCCCATAGTTCATTCCCATTTACGTGGGTCTTTTCCCTTCATATCCCTTTCCCCATCCGAAAATTGCCCCAATAAGATGCGCAATATGCAATTCTCCACTTTCTCCTATGCAACAAGAGCTTTTTCTAGATATGATTTGGAAAATAAAGAGAATAATATGAATATGATAAGGTGAAAAGCTATTCAAAGCTAAACTAAAGCCAAACCAAAGCCAAACCAAAGCCAAACCAAAGCCAAGTCAAAGCCAAACCAAAGCCAAGTCAAAGCCAAACTAAAGCCAAGTCAAAGCCAAACCAAAGCCAAACCAAAGCCAAGTCAACGCCAAGTCAAAGCCAGGCTTGGCCTTGGTTTAACCCAGAGAACTAAATCCAGGAAGTTTTAGATATTATCTGTTATTGTTAAGAGAACTAGAATTTTGGAAGTACGCTCTCGTCTGCGTCTCGTAATGCGCGTCGGGGACGCGCCATTAAGCGCAAATTTTTCCCCGTGATTTTTTGTAGATGAGGCTGTGGTGGCGCGCTTTAAAAAAAGCCATTAAATGCAAATTTTTTGCCCACCCACCCCAACTCCGTTGCCCGAAAGAATGTAAATAGGGCCCCACCCACCCAGTACTACGTACCCGGCTGCAACCGCGCTGACGCTGACGCGCAGTTGCAGCAGTACCTGCGGCGCCAGAAAGCACGGCTAAAAATGTAAATTTATGAGCTGAGGTATTCCCATACCTCAGGAATGGGGATAGGTCGAGGTATGGGGATGCTAGGGTATCCCCATACCTCAGGAATGAGGATAGGTCGAGGTATGGGGATGCCAGGGTATCCCCATACTAGAACCGTAGGAGAACCCGGGTTTTTATCCTTCAACTTAATCTTTTAAAGTTTCAAAGGGCAAAATCATTAAGCAATAAAGTGATTGTAAGATTCTACTGTCATTGAAAGCCATTAAAGATTTCCATTGTTCATTTCAATCCCCTGATCCTCGTTGTGAATTATTTCAAAGCTCTCTCTTCAATTTCCCTTTCTATCACTAAAAGCCCTTTGCATTTCAAAATGCATAGTATTTTAGCGATTTTTTTAGGGATTTAAACCAATTCAAGATAAAAAAAAACGAGAACTCCTGGTACTTGACGTTTCATAAAAATTTTGATAAAGTCTAGAGCTATTACAGTAATTGTAATAAGCGAGAAAGCTTTAAAAGCTTTAAAAGCCTTAAGCTTTAAGCTTTAAGCTCTAAAAGCTTTAAGCTTTAAGCCTTAAAAGCTTTAAGCTTTAAGCTTTAAAGGCTTTAAAAGCTTTAAGGTTTAAAAGCCTTAAGTTTTAAGCTTTAAGCTTTAAGCTTTAAAAGCCTTAAGCTTAAAGCCTTAAGCTTTAAAGGCTTTAAAATAGCTCTCAAATTCTAGCTTCCTAAAAATAATCTGTTTTCAATCTTTTTCCGATCCTTGATTACCTGTACACGTTTTTGCGTGGCACTCGACGATTCATCATTTCTTAGAATAATAAAAAAACTGAACAATTATCATAAAACAATTATGATAAACTAAATGTAAATTTTAAAAAAGAAGAGCAGAGATTGATGTGGCCAATGGGAAATGAGATTTCCGTCCGGTCAGAGGGTAATTCGTGAGAATGAGACACGGGTATTCAATTCAATGGCTATTGAATAAACAAATTGCATTAACAAAGCCGAATCGAAATTCTCAATCAATGCAGAAAGCTGAAATCTATTTTAAAAAGAAATCTATTCTATTTTAAAAACATTTACCTAACAATCTCAAAATCTACCTTCAAACTTTTGAAAGCTCAACGATAAAAAGAAAAATGCGGTGACTAAACGTTAAAAAAATCAAACTCTTAAGCTGTTTAGCTTTCTGTTTAGCGTTTAGCGTTAACAAAATCAAACTCCTAAGCTCCTAAGAGTAAATTGGGTGATTCTTGTCTCAAAATAAAGAGAAAAGAGTGACTCTTCCGAGTCAACTGAGAACAATTTGTTCATCGAAAGAAAAAGAAGAGACGAAATCAGAACTCGAATTGAGAAGATCTTTTCTTTAAAAAGAGCAAAGAATCTCTCACTGAATCAGTCTTTGAATGGGAAAAAGAGAAACGTTTAGGTCAAATGATGAATGAAGGCTTGAAAGAGACTTGAAAGCTTTAAGTCATTTAGTTGACAACTTCATAATACAGTACTTTGCGTACTCTTTGAGTTTTCCACTATTTCGGGTTTTCTTATTAGTGTAGCTGTTAAAATGAGTTAAACTTAACGAACGCCAAATCGCCATCAAGTTAGAAAACAAACAAAGTAGATGTTACGTTCGATTTAGAATTTACTGAATTGTGTAAAAGTGTGAAATACTTAATCTGCTTGAATATCTAATGAATTGTCTTGATAGTTAACACAAGGATTGCTTTAATCTACCGTAAATACTGTACCCCACCCCCATAATGACGGTACGGAGTGTTGCGTAGTCTAGCCTTGGACGAGTTTTTCTCGGCACTGGTTTATGCTACAATGCGCGCTTAGGTATCAAAAAATAGCTGAAATTCAGGGCTATTTTTTGATACCAAAGACGCATTTTTTGAAAGTACGAGCGCTTTGAAAGAAATGAAATACTAAAAAACTTTTGCGACTACGCGACTGTACGACGGGGGTGGGGTACTATTATTACAGTATTTACGGTATGAATTAATCAAAGAAGATCTGGGTTTTGATCTGGTCAAATTTCGGATTTAATTTCCCGAATCGGATGGATGCTTCAGATGGAGAATTTTAAAGTGACGAATGCTTTAGATGAAGAATTTTGAAAGTTATTCAGTTTCATTTATCATTTACATTTATCGAAAGATGTAGAACGCGCAAACGTTGATATTGAGGTCTTTTTACATCTTTCTTAATTTTAAGTTCTTTTTAGGATATCTTTAGCACCTATCAAAGGGAAAACAACACTACTTGTTTGCCATTCATCTGCCAATGATTCAATATAAAACCAAGAAAGAAAACACTAGTACATGCATGAAAAGAAAAATTAGATTCCCATCATTTCACTTTTCTACACAATTGAGTCAATAAATTCTTAAACAAACGTAACATATAAACAATCTCTAAAACAAGAGGAAGCTTGAAGCTTTACCTCGCCAACCCTCAATGATCAAAAGTTTCTCGAGGCCACGAGGTTATCCCTTTTGCTCCCTCTTGCAGCCACCCAAAAGAAGCGTTCTCCCACGCGCACCACCAACTTCAGCCTTTTCCAATCTCAATGCAATCCGAGATCCCAACGGATAAACCCCAGCCAACCAAACGATAAGACAAATTGGGGCCTAGATGAACGCCCAAATTTAAAATTCAAGGCTTAAATTTGAGACAAACAACTCTTTGAATGTCTGATGTTCATGAATTACTCAGTTTTGTATCTTTTAACTTCTCTAGAAGTGCACACTCTTGAGAAGTGTTAAAGGAGTGTTAAACTTTGGTTTTCCCCAAATTTCACTCACTTTTCGGTGGAATTTCTCCTCCGGGCGGCGATCGAGAAAGATTCATCGATTCGTTTCTGCCGAGCCGCGCTGTTCTTCCTCAGCTTCAGCGCCAAACCTGGACACGTTTTATTAGAATCTTATATAAACATAACTATTTTCATATCTAGATTCTTTTTTCCCCAAAATGATGATAACTCACTTCTAAGCGGCAGTTTGACGGCTTTTCTGGATGACGAGGCCCCTCAGCCTGTCGCCCACATTGTTCCACCGAAAAAAGTTCAACCTTAACTTGAATCTTCAAAAAAAAGTAATCATTGTAATGAACATTACAATGAAATCATTGTAAAATTCAGAAATCAAACAAATCACGTATCAATTTTGAAAAGAAAACTAAGAAAACTAACTATAGAAAATGTGGAAGATTTGATAAATAGAAAGGCGTCAATGTGGTTCGAATCACCATGGAAACGATGACCGGATTTGGCTAAAATCATCATTCTGATCCGTTTTTGTTGATGATTTTAGAAATATTACAAGATTTCTTTGAAAAAGGATAATAAAAGGATAATCTTTTCAAAGACGAGAAGTGATTTTAATTTCCGTTTGCGGAAAGTGTCCGGTGCCTACGAAAGCCCCAGTTTGATCAAATCTTAAGATCTGATTCTTAAAAATCTTTAAGAATCATTTAAATTAACAACTTTGCAGATTTGCAGAACTTATTTGCAGATCTAAACTAACATAATGCTTCTACAGGACTCCAAGAAGAAATTTCTAAATGATTTCTATAAGATTAGTTCTATAAGATTTCTAAAATTTGCCTTTGATCATTTGCTTTTGATCATTTGCTTTTGAACATTTGCTTTTGATCATTAGCTTTTGATCATTTGTTAGTTGGATAAAAGGTGAACCGAGTACAGTAAGCTGGATTCGATTAAACAGATAGAATATTTCTTTTTGAACTGACAAACAAAACAATTCATCTGACATCTGACAATTCATCTGACAAACAAAACAATTCAAAACAAATTGTGAATCACACGTGACAAATTCAATCCAAATTCTGAAGAACCGAAGAAGAATTCAAATGAAAAAAGTGAAAAATTTGGGAAGATTCGGGTTGATTAAATTTTGGAGCTGCACACACAAAAAAAATTCGGATGCCTTCTAGAATCGATGAATGGCGTGTGATGGGGACGATGTGTGGAGGAATGTGATGAAAAGAAGAGAATGGAAGTGGAGGGGATCCAATGCAATTAGCGACCACCCCCTCCACAACACACTGAAAACAAGACTGAACTGGGAGAAGAGCAGATGGAGACGCGCGAGAGATGCACTTCTTTGTGGAGTGGCAAGTGTAAAACTATGCTTATTCTTTGTCTAGTACTAGCATTTTTCTTTGTCTTACTCTAAAATCTATGCAGTACTACTATGAATCTTCAGTACTCTTCATTAGATCGTCGGGAAATCGAGAATTGAGCACAAGGTGGTCCACAATTACTTCAGAAGCCGCACTTCAGAAGCTCTAGATTGGTCTTTAGATAGGTCAAAATTGAATCAATCGTTCTGATTTTACTGGAGATAAATCTAATCATATTTACTTATGAAATTTAAACGTGATAGACCTTGAAAAAAATCAGATTTCCTTGTTCTTTAGCTTCCCTGAATGCCCCATAAATCGTTCAAATGAAAACAGACCATAGTAAGTGAGTTTTGCTGACATTTCTCAAGAATTTTTGCACTTAAACTGCGGAGAAATTTCGTTCATTAATATAATAAATTCAATCTCAACGAGATTTTGACAAGCACGCTCTCAAAAATCCCATAAATGAGTAACCGAGCGACAATCGGCACTCAACTTTGAAAGATCATATAAAAAAATTGAAAGCTTGAATCGAATAGATAATGAGCACAGTTCCAAAAGAAATACTTAAGATTTACCTCCAGAAGAATCAAAACGGTTGGCCCAATTGTGGCCAAGCTAGGTCCTCTAAAGTGCGGCGCTATAATTGTGGGTCAATTTGTACATTGAGAGTGTTTACATGTCTTAAGCACAGAGAAAACCCTCAGTCATCAATTCAATCACATGTCTTTAGTCTTATTTTGGAAGATTTCTGCAGAAAGAAATCTGATTAATAAAATCCCCTCATTTGCTGCAAAATGCCCTTTTCCATTTGTGATAAATCCACTTATAATTGTGGCCGTTGAGAGCTTTTTAATTAATTTTGTGTTGGGAATATTATAGTTATTTTAGATCATTTCCCACAGATCATTTGTTTTTTAAGCGTTTTCTAAAGTGCAGGCCTCCTACCGTACACCTATTTATCCGCCATTGAACACCATTGTTTTTCTTTGGTCAAATTCGTTGTCGAACTTTTGTTTTTAAAAGGATCGCTCAATATTTCGTCTTTTTTAAATAAATTGTTAAATCAACTTCATCAACTGATGAAATCGTACCATCAACATCAAGAAAACACATACCGTAAATACCGCAATAGTACCCCACCCCCATAATGACGGTGCGGAGTGTTGCGTAGTCTAGCTTTGGACCAGTTTTTCTCGACACTGGTTTATGCTACAATGCACGCTTAGGTATCAAAAAATAGCCCTGAATTTCAGCTATTTTTTTGATACCAAAGACGCATTTTTTGAAAGTACGGGCGCTTTGAAAAAAATGAAATACTAAAAAACTTTTGCGACTACGCGACTGTACGACGGAGGTGGGGTACTATTACAGTATTTACGGTACGTATACAACAAATAGTTCAACTGAACAAGTAGATTTAATTTTAACTGCAAAAGTTATCACATATTATTTTGAAAGCCTAGTTGACGTGAGATTTGCTTAGATGGAAATGTGGGATGTGATTGAATGTAAGGAGACACTCTTTAGATGCAAAAGGGAAATGGATCTATTGTCTTCTGGAGGTCATCCAAGAATGCTTTCTTGGGAAAACTCGTCAAATTTCCCCGTCATCCGATTGCAAAATCTCATCCAAATTAGAAACAAATTAGAAACAGAATTTGTCATTTAAAGTGTTTTTAGACTGGCTAACAATTTCAGCACTGGAAAATGGCTAGCAAGCACTGGCTAACAGCACAAGCACTGGCTAACAATTCCAGCATTGGAAAATGAAAAGTTGATTGCGTACAAACTATTATTGCCGGCTGATAAAAGATACCTTTGATAAAAGGAATCCAAGATTCGATAGATAATTTCAAGAACAATCTATGATGACTAATTATTATGGTATCGAGAAGAGAAAGTCATTTCAAAAGCGATTGACGCCGATTCTTGTGTGTCCCTTTTTGTCTCTCTTTTGACGCGTACGCACATATTGCTTTTTTAGTCTCCCGGGGGGCTTTTCTTAGATCCTTGCCAAGAAAAAAAGGAGCGAATAATTGGGGTATCGTGGATGGATGAGAAGAGAAAACATAGAGATGAATAGAATAAAAGAAAGGAGATGTGATGAGAGAAATGAGATGAAGAGATCTCTCAATTACTCTAGAGGGTGATCTTGTAAAGAGAAAACAATTAGATTAATGAAAAAAAATGCAGAGAGCGCAACATTGAGAACAATGAACGTTTACTTTGTGAAAGATATGAAGTGATTTGTATTGTAGGTAAGATAGAGATCTTGAAGACTGACTTGAGGTGCTTAAGTTTAACTCTGACATTTATTTGATGAATAACGCATCTAGCCAGGTTAAAAATAATGAAAGAAGCAAAACCTTCATGAATCAAGAAGTAGGCGGTTGAAGGGAAGTCAAAAGATTTCCGGGAAAAGGAGAGGTTGGACGCATGGCGGTAATTTCCGCCTGAATAGGCCAAAAGTCTTTCTCTTCGTATTCTATCAAGAAAGAGTCGGCGATGAATGATTGAGAGAATGGAACCATAGAAAAAAAGCCTATAGAATGAAACCATAGAAAAAAAAAGCCTGAGGTATTTGTGATTCAAAGGGAAACTTGGTACTTGTGAAATGAAAAGTTCCCGAGAAACTACCCTGTAATCTCATTTCAAGGTTCAAAACTCTAGGGAGGCTAAAATCAAGAATCAACGAAACCGAATGAAAATTCTCTGAAAAAAAAGCAAAAGTTGGTGGTGGATAGAAAAGAAAAAAAAGAAGAGCACGAACTTCTCTTGAAAGGCTCTCTTAAAAAGGGAAGAGCCTCTTCTTTTTCTTCTCCTGGGTCGTGGGCATCTCGGCTTTCTCCCATTTCTCAAAGACGGAAAAGCCTCAGACTTCCCCGGGGGCATTCAGATTCGAGGCGTCGACCAAAAGAAATGCCCAGAAAAGGCTCTTTTCGAAGCTCTCACATGCACACGCACGAAATTTCACCCTCTAAAACCTCAAAAAAAACCCCACCCGCTCTATTCTATTCTCTTTTTTGAAGGTTTCTCGACTCACATCGATTTCAGCTCTTTCCATGCAAAACAACACTGGGCACTCTAAGCTTTTCACGCCTCCTTTTTGGACTCTGTTGCTCGCTTTTTTTGGAAAGGAGTGAAGGGTTTCACTTTCCCCGCTGTGGTTTAGATTTGACAAAGGGTTTGGATGTTCGAGGATGAAGTTGTTTCAGAGTTGCCAATCTAGGGGTTTAGCAATAAAGTGATCCTTGGCAAAACCCGGCAAAACGGGTCAATTCCAGGTATAAAATGAAGATAAAGATCGAATGCACTATGCACACTATGCATGTAAATCTCTGTAAGCTAGTCTAAAAACTCGAAAAATGAGTGTTAGAGCCTCTGATGAGTATTGGGTTACGCTTTGATTTGCACTTACAGTTTTGTAATGTCAAATCGTGAATATCTTTTTTACCAGATGCTTGTTCAAACGTAAACCTTGACCTTGGCACTCGAAATCAGCAAATTAGAGCCAATGGCACACTAGAGTACGGTAGCGCTGTTACGCACACTCCAAATGACGTTTGCGTTGTGTGCGCCGCCGGTACTTCACAAAAACAATTTTATTTCGAATAACTCTTGCACCATTCTGATTTAATTCTTTAAATTTATAAAAGGTTCCTTTTTGTTGAAAATGTTCTGCGCACTTTGCTTTTACAGCGACGTGCATTTTTGATACTAAATCCATGTCATTTTTTTGTTACACAAAAACTTTGAAAGCGCCAAAATAATAAAACTTATATTATTGTTTAAATTGGAAAAACATCAATTGTTTTGACTTTATTTTATCCCTTTTCATTCTCAGAAATGCCGGAAGTTCTCTCGGCGGAGGCACGTAAAGTCCTCCAAGATGAGGTGACCACTTTGGGCAATGAAATTCGCGTGCTCAAAGAACAAAAGACGAGCCCTGACTTGGTTAGCACTTTGATTTTTGTTTATTTAGTGAGCTGATCCAGCCGCCTCCACCAATCCACATGCACCATTTTCTCTCGCTTTTGACGTGCTCATGAATCGCGCTTTTATTCGTTTGTGTACCGGTTCGGCGGGTTTGCGCCCGCCTCGCACAGTACAAGTTTTTGCGGAGCGCGGTGGACGGCGGGTCAGCTTACTAGTTTCTTGACTCAAAATAATCATTACTGTAGTTTAGGTGAAAGAAAAGGTGGCGAAAATGCTCGAGCTCAAGAAAAAACTTGGCGAAGAGCAGAAACCCGGGAAGTTTGTGATCAAGTGTCCTAAGGGTCGGTTTGTTTTATCTGGCGTTCATTCGTTTTTGTTTTATCTTTTTATCTTGTAAAGTTTACTTTAGGTACTCGCGACTATGGGCCCAAAGAAATGGCTGTTCGAGAGGCCGTGTTTGGCACAATAATTGAATCGTTTAAGGTTTGTCCTTGGATAGTTGGCCCTCAACTGAAATTTTAGCGTCACGGAGCTGAAACAATTGACACCCCTGTCTTTGAGCTTCGAGATGTTTTGTTGTCGAAATACGGAGAAGAAGGTTCAGCTCTTAAGTTTTATCAAGTTTTATCATTGCGGATGTTTAGGTGGAAAACTTGTCTACAACCTTGAGGATCAAGGCGGCGAACTTTTAAGTATGCGTTACGACTTAACTGTGCCTTTTGCCCGTTATTTGGCTATGAACAAAATTAGTAACATTAAACGGTAAAAGTGGATTTTATATTTTGAACAAATAGATTCAGTTATCATATTGCAAAAGTTTATCGACGGGATCAACCTGTGATGACAAGAGGGAGATATCGAGAATTTTATCAATGTGTTTGTGGCTTTTTTTTGTTGGTGTCCAATATGCCTTTTAGGATTTTGACATTGCGGGTGAATATGAAAAGATGTTGCCGGAGGCTGAATGTTTAAAGATAGTCGATGAAGTGTTAAACAAATTGGATGTTGGAAATTTCTATATCAAGGTAAGCTTCTTTTAAATGACCAAAAAGTTATAGACTGTATGTGTTTAAACCTTTATAATTTCTAAATGTAGGTCAACCATCGAGTAATTCTTGATGCTATGATGTCGGTGAGCGGAGTCCCAAAGCAGCAATTCAAAACTGTTTGTTCGTCGATTGACAAGTTGGACAAGGAGCCTTGGGAGAAAGTCGAAAAGGAGTTAATCGATGAAAAAGGACTGACAAAAGAAGTGACCCAGCAACTTCGGAGATTTGTTCTTTTCCGAGAAGAAGCCACTGGTATTTATTGCTAATTTTCATTGTTTATTTCGATTTTTAGATCTTGACGACATTCAAACGCTAGATAAAATGATGGAAATTGAAGCTCTAAGAACAAATGCGGACTTTAAAAAAGGGACAGAAGAACTAAAGGTTATATTCGAAGTTGAATTTTAAATTTTAAATTTTCAGGTTCTCTTCAACTTCTTGTCGTTGTATGGTGTAACATCTGCTCGTTTTGAACCATCATTAGCTCGAGGTCTGGACTATTACACCGGTGTCATCTACGAAGCGGTCGTTGAGCCAAGTGAGTAGGAGAGTGGCGTCCATTTCTAATTTGGGTTTAGGCGAGGAAGTACGCAAAACTATTGCTGAGGGTGCCGCAAAAGAAAACCAGGACAGTGGGGAGGCGTCGATAGAAGGGCAAGGTCTTCCCACTGGCGTTGGGTCTGTGGCTGCCGGCGGGAGGTATTACCTTTCTTGTAGTACACAAAATTTATTGTTGTTTAGATACGATGAATTGGTGAAGGGATTTTCTGGTAAAAAGGACTCGGTGCCTTGTTGTGGAGTTTCTTTTGGTATTGAACGTCTTTTCGCAATTCGTGAAGCGCAATTAAAGGTAGTTGTTTGAGGTTATTAAGGTGTAAAGCAACTGAGAATTGGTTCGAAAATAAGCTTTAGTGCAAAGATGTCCCTATGAGAACTGTAGCGACGGAAGTCTACGTTGCTTCAGCACAAAAGAACCTACTTGAAGAGAGGATGAAACTATGCCGATCCTTGTGGGATTCAGGAGGTGGAATTTGAATTTGGTTTAAAATTAAATTTTGTTTGTATTTATGTTGTTTATGTTGATTTTGTCTAGAAATTTTTCTCATTATGATTATTATATGATAGTGTAAATGTGGATTACTAGCACGTTCAACGTAGAGATTTTCAGTGCGGACCGAAATGGCTTACAAGAGAAATCCGAAGCTGTTGGACCAAATTCAAAACTGCGAGGCAAAACAGATTCCACTGATGCTCATTGTTGGTGAGCGGGAACTACAAGAAGGCGTTGTGAAGCTACGCTACATTAAGACTCGAGAAGAACAAGTACGTTTCTTGTAACACTTCTTAAAAAATTTAATTTAGGACATTCCACTTGCAACTCTTGTTGAGTCAATCAGAGAAGCCTTGCTCAAAGCTTAAACGAACTTTTCTTAGCTTTATTTATTCCCGGTGTTTGGTGTCTATTCATAAATTTTTATCTGTTTGTTTTTGTGTGTTGTTATTTAATAAAAATTTTATTTTACTGCATGCAAATATTTTAATGTTTTAAACAAAGGAATATACCTTGGTTAGGGGCCTGAAAAGGATGATATGATGATGGATTTAGGTTCAAGATGTCTATGTCAAAGAGCTCGTACAATTACAACCGAAAGGTAAGAAATTTTGTTAATTTTGAAACGTTGTATGCCTAACTTATGCTTACTTAATGTTCGATTTTAGGGTTGGGAGGATGCTGAATTCCCGATTCTTTGCGAGACTTGTCTTGGACCCAATCCGTATCTTCGAATGGTAATCCATAACTTTTATAATCTCAATCAATTTTTTAAGCAAAAAGACACTTACGGCAAGGAATGTACTATCTGTGAACGCCCTTTCACCAACTTCCGTTGGCAACCAGGAAAGGGAGCCAGGTGATGACTAAAAGACTTTCTTTTTCAACTTGATGTTTAGGTTCAAAACCACTGAAGTTTGTCAGACGTGCTCCAAAATTAAGAACATTTGTCAAACGTGTTTGTTTGATCTCGAGTTTGGTTAGTTGTGTTTATGATGCATCAATGTAATGAATGCGTTAGGTTTGCCGGTGCAAGTGCGTGATCATGCTTTGAAAATTTCGGATGATCTTCCACGCCAAGGAGCTAACAGGTAATTTAGTTATAAATTGTTGAATTGTAGTCATTTTAGGGATTTCTTTGTTCAAAATCAAGAGCGTGCACTCGCAGCTACGGATGGAACAACACCTGGAGGAGCATTGGCTACAGTTGGTGCAGATCATCCGGGATCTGAAATGCTTCGGTACGGCAATTTTGTGAAATTTAAAAATTTAATGAATCAAAATGTTTTACAAGTGGGTAAATTAATTATCCAAACTACAGTCTAATATTATGTCAAAAATCACTTTGTTTTAGTCGCTTGGCACGAACGGGACCGTATTACAAAAGGAACGCTCCCCATATCTGCTCGTTCTTTGTGAAAGGAGAATGCAAAAGAGGAGAGGAATGTCCATACAGGTATCACTTTTTTTCTGGACTCGTATCAATAAGTTTATAGGCACGAAAAACCGTCTGATCCCGATGATCCACTCAGTCAGCAAAATATGCGTGACAGATACTATGGTGCAAAAGATCCTGTTGCTGAGAAAATTCTTAATCGCGCTACGGTATGTTTAACATTCTAAGCAAAATTATTTTTGTATAGGCTCTACCATCTTTGCAACCACCAGAGGATGCAACAATTACCACACTTTACGTCGGAAATCTCGGGCCAGCTGGCACGATTACTGAAAAGGACCTCAAGTAAGTTTTGCTTTTTGTTTAAATAATCTCCAGTGCGTAAATAGTAAAGTTCTGAATTTTAGTGATTATTTCTATCAATATGGGGATATTCGTCATCTGTCTTTGTTGCCACAAAAAGGTCTGCTATTGGTCTGGTTTCTTTTTCACAGATAAATTTCAGGATGCGCTTTTGTCAACTACACAACACGCGAATCTGCTGAAATGGCTGCTGAACGGTGAAGCATTATTTTATTTTATGTCAATTACTCCTTTTAGATCCTTCAATCGTGCTCACATCAAAAACCGAAAGGTCACGATTCGTTGGGGAGTGCCTCATGCACAGCGCCAAGCTCAGAGCGAGTATCGTGTCAACCCGGTGCCTAATCTCCCTACTGGTAAGTGGAAGTTGAAAATTAACAAGATTATTTTGCCTGATTCTTTTCAGCTTTGCCTATTCCCGACGAATTGGTTCCCACAAAGCGTGGACGAATGGAGTTCGCGCCAAGAGGTAACCTTGTTTTAGGGTCTTATTACCAAGTAGTTTAGATTTTATGCCACCACCAGCTGGACCATCTGGAGGAATTTTGAAGGTGCCGAGACTTGCTCCACCAATGGGCGGATATGACCAACCTGGTTGGTTTCTTTTCTTAAAGGCCAAGAATTCAAGAGAACATCGGATCAATGTTAAAAAAAGATTAGAATCTAGTGCAACCTAGGTTCTTCACCTAAAAATTATGTTTAGGTACATCTTCATCGGGTTACGAGGGTTCATCCATCTACTATCCCAGTCAAGATCCCGAACGTTTGGGTGCCAAGGGTGACGTCATCGATTAATTTTTTATTTTGGGTTATTACTATTTTCAAAAAGTTCTCATGTATTTTGTCGCTGGTGTAAATTTTTGACATGAATTATGTTGAGTTCATTCCATTTAGTTATTTTCATAAATCGTTGTGCTAAATTAGAAGCGCAAGAAAATTTCTGCATCATCCTTGATTGAAACCACAATTTTTGCAAACGTTTCTAGCTTCTAGCTACAAGGCAATCCAAAAAAATTTGCTTGCTTAATTTTATCTCTTAAAAGTGTCACACCTTTTTGCTGTCAAGTGAAATTTCTCTGCTGTCTGGCACTAGGTCCATTATGGGCGGGACTTAACCTTTTGCCTCATAACGTTGCATGGAGATTACACTTTGGGTTCATTTTGGTATCATTCGACGCGCAATTTTATTCTGCATTGAATGATAGTCAAAATCGAAGGGTTGGTGCTGGGAAAAACACTAAAAACCTTAAATTGTCAACGGCAAAAAAGGACCAACAGATGTTTTCGCGACAAGTCTAGTATGACATGCCCAAAGGAACGTCCCCTAGTCGTTATTTTTTCCACACTAAATCATTTTGTTCTCGCGAACCTCTGGACCGATTTTGTTCGGGTTTTTCCGAAAAATGGTCGCCTCATTTCTCTACTTTTTGGAAAAAATGACTTAGTGCGGGAAAAACAACGAACAACGACTACGCGACGCTCCTATGTCATACTATTAAGTAAAAATACGGTATCTATGTACTAAAGTGAATCTTCTTTTAGGGTTACTGTAAGTCAAAGAGTATCATTTTTGAAAACAGAAACTGCTTATTGCTTTTGCATTTGAATTAGAAAAGTTTTTTTTTGTTTTTCTTTTCGTCATTGCGATTTTCATAAATCGTTGTGCGAAATGTTTCTATTTTGGGAATCGGATTGTTTTTCTTCTATGGTTTGTCTTTTTCTCTTTGAAAATTCATAATCTCCAGCAATTTGCTGTCTCCTTTCAATTCGCCACTTCAATAGAGGGGTTTCCCCGAAATTTGCTTCCGCCGAGGCCAATTTTCTTCCTCGATCATCACGTGACTGAGAAAAAGAAGGGTTTTTTTTTTTTGGTCGATTTTGTTGTGAGAATTTCAAAGAAGGACTAGTTTTTTTTCGATATTTGATTTTTGGTTTTGGGATTACTTTAATTGGGAGCTTAGTTTCGCAAGTTTTTAGTCATTTTACGTGGACAAGTTCACTTTATCGTCAAAAGCTTATCATTAAAGTCGAAGTCTACGAAGTCTAAAAGTTGATTTTCTATTTTTCTGATTCTTTTTTTATGTCTTAGTCACAGTAGTTCTATAGTTTTTTGTTCTATAGTTAGTTTTCTATAGTTTTCTATGTCTTAGTCTATAATTTTCTATGTCGTAGTTCTATAGTTTTCACAGTAGTTCTTTAGTCCAAGCTTTGGTTCTATAGTTTTTTTGAATAGTGGTTTAAATCTAATAAAGTTAAATAATGTCAAATCAAATAAAAATCAAATCAAATAAAAATCAAATCAAATAAAAGTTAAAATCTCCCTGAAAAGTGAAAATTCTCCCTGAGTTTTCATCAATTTCTATATCATTTTTTTTTGGGCGAAATGTTAGGTCTTTTGGAAAGGATTTGAATATTTAGTCTTTGATCGGCCAAAAATCGGTCAATGACATTTCCCTTCCGCCGCGTAACTTTTGAGAGCTCTATTTGAACTAAACACGCACGTTTTTTTGCTTTTTGAAGCAACTGATCGGTTTAGATCATTTTATCAAATTTGATTTATCATATCACTCACGAAAATCACGAAAATGTTATTTTAAAACCGAAAGAGTTGTGTTCAGAAACTTTTTGTGATCAGGAGCTGGCAGAAGCCTAAGTCTAAGCTAAGTCTGGCCTTAGCTAAACTGGGAAAAACTATGGTACCTTCGGACCAAAGCCTGGCAAATGAAATTTGCTTTACAAGGCAGAAGTGTTAAGTTATGAGGTTTGCTATGTGGAATATAAGAAATACCGTTTATATTTTACTTTTCTTTAAATAGCTAACAAACTTCTCAAGGTCATTCACCCAATTTCACACAGAGTATCCGATTACAATTTAGAACCCTTTTTTTGCCTCTTTTTGCCTCTTTTTGCTCAATATTTGGCACCTAAGATTGATCGGATCAACTTTTTGCGGTAGCTTTCTTTTATTTCCTTATTTCCGTTTCCAATTCGTACATTTGCAATGAAGATTCTAGAACCGTTGGAATTGGAACAGTCGTATTCTAGAATCGTTGGAATTGGAACAGTCGTATTCTAGAACCGTTGGAATTGGAAGAGTCGTATTCTAGAATCGTTGGAATTGGAACAGTCGTTTTTAAATTGGGTTTTTGAAAGATTTTTGAAGTTTTTACTTTGACAAATAGATAGAATTTAAGCAAATTCAACCAATAGACTGTGTAAACTTTAATGAATTACTTTGTTAGAAAAACAAAAGTCATAGATTTTGTTCGACTCCCTTTTTAACCAGATGCTTGCCTTTTTTACAAAAATATCCCTGGAATTTGAGTGCAAGTGTACTCAAAACGAAGCCAGGAAAACAATTCGGTTCGGCTGTAAATGGAGACCAAAGGAATGTGAAATTCTCTAGTAAATTCTGATCTGATCTCAAAATGTGATTAGATAACTTTTGTTACATCAAAATCTGGGTTAGGCTAATTTCCGCCATTTTACTTGCGCAACAGGGTCATTTGCGCAACTCGCCATAACTTTCTCCTAAGTAAGAATCTAAATTTACTAGTGTACTATCCTAGTTGGGGAGGGCGCTCTTTTTTTTTTTCTTCAAAACCACCTTTTGCGCAACTCGTCATAACTTTCTTCTAAGTGAACTAATCTTTATGATTTTGGTTTCATTTTGTTGCACTTATTGAGATCTACAAAATGAAATCAAAATCATAAAGATTGGCTTACTTAGGAGAAAATTATGGCGAGTTGCGCAAAAAAATTTGGCGCAAAGTAGCCTATCCCCAAAATCTCTAGCTCTAGCCATTTTTTTTGATTAGAAAAGATCAAAAACCATTTTATGAAAGTAATTTGTAATATTCATTGATTTCAAATGGACGAGCTTGCAGTTTTCTCAATTTTTGAGTAAAAACTTGTCTTGGAGTCAAATTCTAATTTGGAGTTTTTGGAATTGAGCTTTCTCTCAAGCTTTACACCAGAAATCATCAGATTTTTGATTTCATAAAACTCTAGACAAAGCAATTAGTGGTTTAAATGTCGAGTGAAATTTATAACTTCCATAAATCAAGTACTTTTCTTGTTTTATTGTTGATCAGAAGATTTGAAATATGCCGAAAAGCAATTAAAATTGTATCTTGGATCTTGGAGTTGTTGTGAATTCGTTTCCCCGTACTTTTACACGTTTATTTTCATCTCAAATTCTATGTGAGTTGCTGTGAATTCTTTCAAATCATATCTTGGAGTTGTTGTGAATTCTTTTCTTGTGATTTTTTTTCTTGCATTAATGGATTCAGCACAAGAAGAACACTGAAGAAATTTGAGTGTTTTTTGTGTAATCCGTCTACAATTTCTCCAAAAAAACATTCCCAGCTGTTTTGAGCAGAAGAATCGTTTCCCCGTACTTTTATACGTTTATTTTCAACTCAAATTCTATCACATGAATTGCGTTTGAATTTCTGATCTCAAAATGTGATTGGATAACTTTTGTTACATGAAAAACTTTAGTTTTTGATTTAATTCTAATGAATTGCAATTCATAAAAATTCGTAAAAAGCTACCCCTAGAGATTTCATTGATTGCATTTATACTGTCATTTTCTGATTGACTTTACTTTAGACTTTAAATTTGAAAAAGTCAAATCTCAAGGGGAAACTTGGTGAACAATTGAACAAAACACGGATTCTTGAAAAGTGTTCTATTTGAAAGTAATTCAATTTCTGAGAAAACAATATGTCTAGTAAGATTTCTAAGGCTTAAAAAGTACATTCAACTGTTGTAAAAAGGTTGCAAAATTTTTGGCTTAAAATCGATGAAATCTCTAGGGGCAGCTTTTTACGAATTTTCTCATCTCTCACTTTTCGTATGAAAATTTTCCGGGAATCAAAAGATTTTCCCAAAGTGTTGGGTATGTATATGCCGAAGAAGTATAGCCGATGAAGTCTCAGACTTCTTCGGCTGAAATCCTTAATCGGCTACGACATATAAAAGACAGAATATTAGGCCAATCTTTAAAAAAGAAACTTTTGAAACAATCACGTCATTTTCTTGGTTCTTTTGCCCAAATTGTGTTCCTTCTCATTTTTTTCTGCTCAAATTCCGTCCAATATGGAATGGATGAGAATTTGATGAATATTTTATTCATCAAAATCTTTTTCTCAGCATCAGAATTATTAGGTTGGTGCAGATGAAACTTCCGTTGGAACCATAAACAAAATTTATTATAAAAATCCTAATACAGAACCTCAATCCAAAAGATATTCGCCATCATTATCAATGACTCTTTGCCATCTTCCACGCAGAGAATGGATGCCCTTTTCGAAGAACTCGGGCAACTGCGACTCGAAGAAGTTGGACACCCAGATTTCAACTTCTTCGCGGTTCTTGAGTTTTTTTCCTGCTAAAGAATGCTGCATCGACCGAAACAAGTGGTAGTCGGATGGGGCCAAGTCCGGGCTATATGGCGGATGAGGCAGAACTTCCCAGTCCAAATCCTCGATTTTCTGCTGGGTGATCTTTGCGGTGTGGGGTCGAGCGTTATCGTGGAGGAATTTTGTAGTCGCCGTGTTATTGCCTTGACGACGCAATGCCTGGTCCACGCGGCTCAATTGGGCTTTGTAGAGATCCGCCGTGACTCTTTGGCCCGAATCCAGCATCTCAGAATACACGAGACCTTTACTATTCCACCAAATACAAAGCATCACCTTTTTTCCGTGGATATTCGGTTTGGGAGTCGGTTTTGGCGGTTCACCGGCGTCCAACCACTGCCGTTTTCTTGCTGTGTTGTCGTAACATATCCACTTTTCATCTGCCGTAACAATGGAGTCGAGAAAACCGGCGGTCTTTTGCGCGGCGGACGAGAATTCCAGCCATCGTAGCTCGAGCCGCTTTGTTTGCGTCGCTGAGCTGATGTGGCACCCATTTTCCACACTGATTCGTCTTACCAATTGCGTGCAAATGGCGGAGAATGGTTGTATGGTCGCAGTCAAACAGCTCTGCAAGCTCCCGAGTTGTTTGGCATGGATCCGATTCGATAGCGTTCTTCAACTCATCGTTGTCGACAATTTGAGGCGGATTCCCGCGTTTTTCGTCTTCCAAACTCTCATCACCGTCTCGGAAGCGCTGAAACCAAGTCCGGCATTGACGTTCGGACAACACGTCATCGCCGAATGCTTTGCACAGAGCACGATGAGATTCCGCAGGCGTTCTGCCTTGTTTAAAATCATACAACAAGCAAACCCGCACTCGAAATTTTTCGTCAACCATTTTCTAGAAGCTAAAAATTACTTCAAATTAAGTAAAACGCATAAGTCTTAGATATCAAAAGACGCGCAAAGAGACGCTCTTTTAGATAGACAAATATCTTCAATAAAAACTTTTATTAGGTTCAAAATATAAACAAACAAGTGTGACGGAAGTTTCATCTGCACCAACCTAATATATTGAAAATCTTGAAAATAGGAAATAATATTATTTTTACATTTCTATTAGCTTGTTATGATAAGATATATGCTCCAAATTCGGAGATATATTAGAGAAGTTGGTCTTAAAATTCAATTGGAGCTAAGCTCTAGATACTGTACAGGATGTCCCAAAGAAATCCACTTCGGGTCAAATTTTAAAAATATTTCCGGTGGCTCAAGGTATGGTGCAAAAATGATTTTTTTTGGGAAAATTTGATGTTTTTTCATGATTTTCACCATAATATGACTCCAAATGCAAGGAATTTCTGAGTCACCATTGTCAGCACCACCATATGGACCATCACCACATGGCCCCATCACCATATGGGCCATCACCACATGGCCCCATCACCATATGGGCCATCACCAAGCCCACCATGGGCCATCACCACAGGCCCCACCCTAGGGCCACACCACATGGCCCCATCACCATATGGGCCACCACCATATGGGCACCACCATATGGGCCACCACCATATGGGTCATCACCATGAGACTTTTTGCCATAAAATTAAAACTTTGTACTGCCATCGTGGTGCATAATAAACACTACTAGAATAACTACAACTTTTAACCATACACTTTATTGATCAGCGTTTCCTTGGAAAAATGGGACAATTCTTTAAAAAAAGCGAATTAAATATCTCTTATGTACGACATATTATCATAAAATGTAGATAAATAAAGTTTTTGGCTAAAAATCTTAGTTTATATATTAACTTTAATTATATTAGAGTTTATAACCAAACACTTTATTAATTAGTAGCTTATGAGCAGAACATGGCTGCCTCTTTGAAAATTGCGAGTTAAAAGAGTTCTATGTACAAGAGATTACTGGATTTTCTAAACCAATAAGGTGTTTGGTTATAAATCTTAGTTTACATGTTAACTCGTATATGACACCACGAGGCCAGTAGAAAGTTTTAATTTTATAGCAAAAGTCTCATGGTGGTGGCCTTTGTGGTGCCATATGGTGGTGCTGGCCATGGTGGCTCAGAAATTTCATGTAATTGGGAGTCATGGAAAATCGGGAAAAAGTGACAAAATATCAAAAATTTGCCCAAAATCTTCACTTTGACGCTACAACAACCTCCAGGAGCCAGTAGAAATTCTGAGAAAAGTAGCGCTGAACTGACTTCTTTTGGAACACCCTGTAGGTTTGTCATTTGTTTGTCAGGTTTTAAATTTATCCCTTTCATTGAATTTGATTGAATTTATCCTTTTAAACAAGTATCAAAGCTGAGCTAAATAAGTCTCAAGAACAAAAAGAACACTTTTTTATTAACACTGAAATCAAAATGCTTTCCAATCTTCCGACCTGTCTTTTCAACAGTTTAAGCTCATTCTAAACCATTGCTTTGTTTGTTTGTACGTCTAAAATAATGACAAATGAGCTTTGAAAACACAAAGATCATTGGCTCCGTTTCAAGAATCAAGAATGCAAGAATTCTTCCAAGAACCTCATGTTGAACTCCAGAAAAGCTCTCTCTTTCAAGAAAAGAAGCCTCATTTTGCGTCAAGAGCCGAATGTCAAGAGCCGAATTTTAGGTGAGTGTCCTTTTTTTGAATGGAAACGAAAAATGTAATTTATATTCATTTTTTAAATTTGAATAGAAATTACATTTTTTGCTCAAGCCCTTTTTAAAGAGTATAGCGAATTCTCAAACTACAAAAGAAATAAGATCTAATCCCTTTCAGAACAGTAGGACAATTGCCTAATTTCACTTTCTTCCCACCCACATTACTAATTGTAAATGTGGTGAGCGTTTGAACTCGTCTGGGAGTCTCTTTTCCGAAAATTTCCTTCAAAATCCTTTTCAGCTTATCAGCTGAATCAATTTTCTAACTTTTTTGTTTTCCTGGGGTTTCTTTTCAGAATCAAAATGTCGAATTTTAATCTTTTCTGTTTTTGCACACTTTTTGCGGATTTTTGAGGGTTTCAGCAAAAACTAAACGTTTATGAAATAGGTTTTTCTGTTTGAAAAGTTGGTGTAATGTTTTCTCAAAGCTACTGGATATTCTAAGACTTTAGATTTACATTTCTGTCTTACTAATCACATCGAAAAGTATGGATTAAGTGTAAAGCTAGATAACTTACCATAACGATATTCTTTTTCTTGTTATTGTTTTCTTTTTCTTGTTATTGTTTTCTTCTTCTTGTCATTGTTCTTCTTTTTCTTGTTATTGTTCTTCTTTTTCTTTAGATTCCCTTAAGCTCACCCACATTTTCCAGAGAAACATCTCAAATTCGCGATTTCCATTCAACAAAGAACCCAGATTTCCTCAATTTTCGAATGTTTGAACCATCATGGGTTCGAGCGATAACCCACATTGTGGAGATCACTCTTTGTGTGATCACAATTATATTCAATCTCTCACTAATCGCTCTCATTCTGACGACAAAATCGAAAGTACTTCATGGATACAAGTGAGTCAATTCTTGAATACATTGATTGGCTTACTTATAGCCTAAAAATCGACTGAAGTTTGCAGCTTGTCAATGGTGAATGAAGTCAGGGTTCAGGCTAAATCAAATCAGATCTTGATCACTTCTTGGCTTAGCTTTGTTTGTACCTGCCTGCCAAAAAGCTAAGCTAGGTTCTGGTGGCTTAATCCACCAGACCAGCTGGGGTTACCCACCAGAACCGCTCGGGCCCCTTCTGGTGGCTTATCCACCAGAACCTAGCTTAGCTTCTGGTGGCTTAATCCACCAGAACCTAGCTTAGCTTCTTGTCGACTCTAACCTTGCCTAATCTGATTTGGCAAATGATAGAATTGATTTGAATCGTGATTTAATATAATATATTTAAATTAATAAAAGAAATATATATTCTTAACGGTTCTCTTTCTTTAAGAAATCTGTATAAAACAAAATCTTTACTCTCTTTCATCAATCGCTTTCAGGTACCTTCTCCTTTCGTTTTCTCTTTGTGAGTTAGGCTTTTCGATTACACATATGTTGATGGAACCGGTAAGTTCTAGATTATCTTTATATAGTGTATGATTTTCGAAATTCCCTAGATCTTGCTGGTGATCGGCAATTGGGTGGTGTTTTTTGGCTATGGTGCTCTCGGAGCTCATCCTGCTGGACCAACCCTTCTCTTTTTATGGATCTCATTTTTGTCACAAGTTTGTTTAAAGTGGAAAATGCTTACATTCTTTTATCAGTTCAACCTTTCATGATTGATTTCAGATCGTTCTTTGCCTTATGCTGCATTTCATCTATCGATATGTGATGGTTGTTAGGTGAGTGCTGCTTATGGGAAAATGCTAATGATGAAAGCTCAAACAAATCTAGAAATCGTTCAGAACCGAGTGGTCATTTCTCTTCAAATCGTGGCATCTCATCCTGTTGCTTTTCCTTTTGTATGCCGGCTTTGCCACTGCACTTTTCATCGTTCCTGTCATCTACTCAAAGCCCAGCAAGGATTTCAATCCACAAATCGGTTCGTTCACTTAAGGGATATAGACTAAACAATACGATATAAATAAACATATAAATAAACAATACAATGAACAATACAATGAACAATACAATGAACAATACAAAGTATGAACAATCTTCATTTCACAAACTATTGGGTTGATGGAAAAGTCCTTTCCGATTTTTTGGGAGAGTACCTTAAATTTGTCGAATTTTGACGTTTTATAGCTCATCCTAAAGCTGAATTCAAGACGGATCGATTGGTAAAAACCGTTTTGAGATATCTCTTTTCTAATATCTCTTTAACTTTTAGAAGAGAGATATCTCAAAACGGTTTTTACCAAACGATCCGTCTTGAATTCAGCTTTAGGATGAGCTATAAAACGTCAAAATTGGACAAATTTAAGGTACTCTCCCAAAAAATCGGAAAGGACTTTTCCATCAACCCAATACATCACAAAAACATCTTTTAGTTGAGCGATTCGCGTCGATGGGTCTCTCACCAGATGATGTGGCTGTTTTAAAAGCTCCTATTAGTGTGAGTTTGCACATACGTGAAATTTTTTTCTATTCGAATTTTGCTATCAAAAACATATTCTTCAGAAAGAACTCTCTGATGGCACTCGGGAATACAACACTTTTTTCATGGCCGTAGTCACAGCTGCTTTAGGAGTCAATCTAGCTGCGATTGCAACAATTCTATTTTGTGGACGAGGGATTCATCACTTTTTAGGGGTAAGTGAGCGAATGTTGATGGAAAATTTGGACTTAAAGCATTGAGTTTTGAGAAACCTATTGCCTATAAGCTATGCCCGCAAGTTTTGCTGTAATTTTAATGACTTTAGGACAATTTAGTGCAAAATAGAAGCCATAGATAGACTGCTGAATATTCCAGTGATTGTATAAACTTTACCACAATCATTTCTTCATATTTCTTGTGCTTTAGAAAGCGGCTATCTCAGAGAGAACTCGTCGCCAACAGCACCAACTCTTCCATGCACTTATTGTACAGGTAAAAAGAAAACAATCAAATATACATAGTTTGTTGGAAAGAATTAAAAGTCAAAAGTATTTTACCCGTTAGAAATTTTTCAGACAGCTGTCCCAATGATTTGTATCTTTATCCCAGCCACCGTTTTTGCCCTGGGAACTGTTTTTGAGGTAACTTTAATAATCAAAATCTTATGATAATCAAAATCTTATGATAATCTTTTTCAGATTGATGTTGGCGTTGCGTATTTCCCAGTGTTCACTCTATTTGTAATCTTTCCGGTAAGGTTTCATAACATTCCTTTTTTAAAGATCAATTCAGGTCTTGGACCCGTTGGTGATTGCGTACTTCATCGCTGATTATCGGAGATCGTTGAAAGTGAGTTTGAAGAAGCAGATTTGGATTGATTGGACTTGATTCAGTGTAAAGTAGACATAGGCTTTTCGTAGAAAACGAATCAGTCCCTGTTTAGCAAACAACTCTTGTTTGTGTGGATACAATGCTATTTCGAGCTTTAGAAAACAAGAGCTGTTTGCTAAAACGTGGGACTAACTGGTTTTCTATAAAAGGGCCAGGTATAGTATAAAGTATAGTTAGAAAAAGACTCAAGATAAGTTAAAGGCAGTCCGGATTTAATAATGATCAAATCTGATAGTACCTGAGCCAGCCAGAATCCAGATCGGTACTTGGCTAGCACTAACTGATTTTAGACTAAAACTTTAGGCTTCTAAACTGACTTTCTAAACAGAATTTAGAGTGTGCAGAAGATCTGGATCCCAATCAGATCCGGAGGTTTAGTTGAAATTTTCATTAGCAGAAACATTTTTGCTTTTAATTAGTAACTATCTGTTCCTAATATTGTTGCTTTCTAATATCTAATATTATCGATTTCCAGGCCCATCTCGCGAGAGCGACACGAATCTTCGAATACGAGCACTCAGTGACATCACTTCACGAGGAGCCACTCACCGATCCAGAGAAACAGAGCTCACCCGTCGCCTTGTAAACTCCAGTTTTTGTTTTTGATTATCGAAAGTTTTGATTATCGATTATCGTTTTGATTATCTTCATGTAAATAGATGATATTTTCTGATATTTCCCATGATCTCATCAAAGCTCATTGTTGATTTCCATTGAAGAAGTGCAATCGCTCAAAATCACTCAAAATCTTGTAAATTTCTCTAAAAAACGAGGTACTGTAAATAAATTTATGCGCTTTTTTTTTTCAGAAAACTATTAACGAATATTTTTTGATTACAGTACACGTTTTGGTTAATTGAGGAAGAGTTGATCTTTCGTTCATTTTGCTGAATTTAGCATTTAGCTTCATTTATAAATCAAAAAGCTTTCCAACCTTTCAAAACTTTCAAAAAACAAAACTCGCGATGATGACGAATACGTAAATGATGAAAGAAATACAGAAAAGCACCTGAATTTTGGTTTTTATAGAGAAATGAATCGCAAATTATTTTGAATTATATCAATTCTTTCCTTGATATTTTACCTGATTCAAGGCGTGAGCCGGAGCGGCATACTTTAAAGAAACATCTTCATGCTTCGTTGTCTAAAGGAAAATTTCTAATAAAAGTTTGTTTTAAGAATTGAAGATTATCAATTTATATATATATATCTATATATATATATGTTACGTCCGAATCTGAGGAGACGTCCATCTCCGATCCGGACGTCCGAATCTGAGGAGATTCATTCTCCTCTGAAACGGACGTCCGACTCAGAGTCGGGCGTCCATCTCTGAATCGGACGTCCGTTTCAGAGGAGAATTGCCAAACCGTATATATTACCAAATTATTTGTAAAGAAAAAAAAGTAAATTGAGAGAATTTCCATTTTAACTTCCTTTTTCATTTGTTTTGTTCAAAACATTGGATTTTGCATTTAAACTATTTGTTCTCAAGATCGGACGTCCGATTCCGAGAAGAATGATCATTCTCCTCCGAAACGGACGTCCGACTCAGAGTCCATCTCTGAGTCGGACGTCCGTTTCAGAGGAGAATGAATCTCCTCAGATTCGGGCGTAACATATATAACTTGATTAACTATATAAACGTTATATAAAAACGTTTAACTCTGACAATCGATTGGGTTGGTGAATTGAAAACTACCGGACTTTGAACTACAATTTATTCAACATAAAACCATCAATTCATTCCAGATGCTACCAAAGGCTTAGTTGCAAGAACAAATAGGTTTTTTTTCCATGTTTTTGTTTGGTTACATCTTTTTTATTGTTTGTTTAAGATTTAGAGTTACTTTGGATTCACAATAAATTCAGAAACGTTTTTTTATCGGCAAAATCTAGTGCTTGTTGTTCTGAGTTAGTTTAAATTCTATGAATTTCTAGGAAATGATTAAAAAGATTTTAAAAAATGATACCTTACTGTGTAATAATGTTTTAATTCAAATCGAATACAATATAGATTTCTCCTTATTGATTATTTACCTTTGGCAATGGAAGCACCAAGCTAACGAGAGAGACAAGACGATCGACCGAGTGTGGAGGAGGAATGTCTAAAAAAACCTTTATATACAAAAGGTACATTCTTAGAAAGCTTTTGTAAAGCTCTGAATCTCCTTTTATAGCTGTAACAATGGATAAAGTGATTCGAGTAGATTTTGATCAGATCTAAACGCCTAATTGTACCACTACTGACTTGTAAGCTGACTTGTAAGCTGACTTGTAAGCTGACTTGTAAGCTGACTTGTAAGCTGACTACTGACTTGGTTCATCTGCTTTACTTTACTTTCATTTGCACCAAATAACATTTTCTACTTTTATCATAGTTTGAAGACAGTTCATACGCATCTAATAGTCTTTGAAAAGAAACACGAAAGCTGAAAGTCCAAAGTCTATCTTATAACTCACCAGTGGGAGATGAGGCGAGCCTCTCTAGAATCAGCGATGCGACAAAGAGAAGACCCGTCATTATCAAGTTAAAACCGGCATATTTTACTAAAGCGGTTAGGTTAGGTTTTTTCAAGTTTTAGTTCAGAAGATGGTTACTAATGTATGCTAACTTACAAATAGTTGGTGTATGTGTGGTGAACGAGGGTAAACGCTGTGAGACCAAAAGCAACGAGAGCAACTGGCTCACAATTGAAAAAGCCAACAGCATTGCTTGCCGGGAGGATAGCTGGATTTTGAAAATTTAGATATAAAGTGATTTTCGCGAGTTTACCTGAAAGAAAACAGCTGACAGGGTGAAGAGAGTGGTCAAGAGAGCTGGCAAGAGCATCTCGGAGACAAAATAGACGGCGTTTCTTCGAAGCGTTACACACATCTTGAAATCTTAGGATTTGTAAATGCTATAGAAAGGTTCAGCAAAAAATTGCGTACAAAAATACCAATAAAATCTCTTAACCCTAAAATAGCAATATTTTCATTTTGTTTGTGAAAAAGTCAAAGCCGAGATTCGTGAGCTAAACCCAACTAACTTGAAGTTAGAATAACCCATAAACAATTGATTGAATATCTATTAAAAGAAAGATAGACATAAAATGAATTGATATCAAATAGAATGAGGGGCCCAGAAAGGGAAGGGTCTGTGGTCGACCCCGTCCGATCTGCCAAGTTGAGCAACGTCGGCGCGGGTTAGTTGTGGGTTCGACTCCCATGGGCTCCCCTCCGAGCGCCCCAGCCCGGCCATCGGAGTATCATCGGCTACGACAACTACACTTCTGCCTCAGTAAATGTGGAAGCGGGTTGTGATCTGCGCTAAGTGCGAAGACAGATCAAATCATTATTTTATTTATTTATCAAATAGAATTAAACTAAAACAGCCACTTACCTCACAGTTGGCCGTCTGAATGTCAAAGGGATTCTTATGCCAATCGGACAATGTTGTGATCGTGTATGGGGATTCCTATTGAAATTTTGATGAAAGCTTTTCCATCAATTCTTACATTCATCTCTAATCCCTCAATTTGCCATCCCGAAACGCGAGTGTCCGTGAACTCTTCTCTTTCTTTGTTTCGCACTTCTTCAGCTACCGAGAATCGAGCGGCGAGGAGCCGTTTATCATCGAATTTGTAGCAGATCTAAAATTTCTGCGTTACTGCTCGTCAATTCTTTTCAAAATTTTCTTTGTCATCTTCTTTTTTTCTTCTTCTTTCTTCTTCTTCTTTCTTTCTTTAATCCTACAATCTATTTAAATACTTAATACTAGAAATTATCAATAAAATTATCAATGAAAATATCAATCAAACTATCAATCAAACTATCAATACTTAAATACCATTGATGCTTAAAATTTGTAAACAAACCCTTTGCAAATCATTCGGGAACTCCTCATATACAAAGGAATATGGTGAGCTGGAAATAGAATGGTTTTGGTTTGGTTGGTTTGGTTGAAAATTGTTTATCAGCAGGATTGTTAAAAAAATCTCAATGTTTAACATATCTAGAATTAGGATTTATAGCCTATAGAAAAAAGAGACGAAATAGAATTGAAGGCTCTTGAAGGCTTGAAGGCTGCCTTTTATTCTGTTAAGCTCCTTTTAGATTGTTAAGCTCTCCTGGTTCAATTGCGTATACTTTGCACTGAATCTCATTTGCTATTTACTAATTTAGAAACTGATTTACAAACTGCTTTGTTTCGATTTTTTTTGTTTTGTTTTGAAGGCTGTGTTTATCTAAAGAGCGTTAGACAATGACAACTAAACAAATGAAATATTTGACAATATTTGCGAACTTGATATAACTTTGATTGCTACAACTTTAGTACTTTAATTTTCGCTATGAGAAGAGTGAACTTGTCCAAATATTTGATTACTTTAATGAGTGATGAGCAAACTTTAGAGTACTTGGTGAAATTGTGATGGAAATCCTCATAGAGACAACAAAATGCGAACTTAAATAGGCTGAAACTGGTCAAAACAGTGCCGGTCAAAATCATTTGTTTGCGGTTAAGTTTATTTAAGTTACTTATTTTCATTGGATTTAGAACTAAATTAGTTATTTGCTGAATTCTTTAGAGTCGTTTAGAGCAAATTTGGGATGAGAAAATGCCAACAAAACAACAGAAAATAGCTTAAAAAGATTTTACTGAGCTTTTCTTGACACCAATTAGGTTTTAAGTGATCTCAAAGTATACAAAATGTAGAGAATTTTATTCTGTATTCAATAAGAATAAGAAACACATAGAAACGTAATAGTGGAGAGGCTATTTTTCCCGTGACGCTGTTTCTACACGACACTGTTTTAACCAGCTCTAGGCTTTAGCTGCATTTACACTACTGGACAATGAAATGCACCCTTGCTAAAACGTATTTCTAAATATTAATATTACCATTCCGTGTACAAAAGGCTTTCAAAAATGTATAACACTAATGTTTAAACTCCCCCCCCCCCGCCCCCCCGCAAAGGCAAAAGACAAGAAGACAAGATCTGATTTGATTTAGCCTGCAACCTTGGCTTCATTCACCATCAATTCTATCATTTGCCAAATCAGGTTAGGCAAGGTTAGAGTCGACAAGAAGCTAAGCTACACTACTGGACAATGAAATATTATATTTGAAAAAAGATCGTCACTTTTGCCGTGAACTCCCTTTGTCTTACCGTATTTCTAAATATTAATATTACCATTGTGTAGCCCTTGAAAATAGCTTTCAGAAAATGTATAACACTAATAGTTAAAACTCAAAGACAAGGGAGTTACAGACGCGCGAAAGTGGTGATCGTTTTTCAAATCATTCTTTTGTGACGAAAGTGACGATCGTTTTTCAAATATGATATTTCATTGTCCAGTACTGTAGCTTTAACTTTAGCTATGCTGGAAATTTAGACTTGTTTACCCATGTAAACAAGTTTAATTGATTCCAACTTTTGTCTGACTTTCATTTTAGTGCTTTAATTTGTACTTAAATCACTTTTCTTGTAGAAAATTTTAGAAAACGTAGTTAATTTGACTTTCGAAAAGGATTTCACAACACTTACGAGAAAGTGAAATCGGCCCAGAGGTAGACTTTCCCGGTGTAGTTCGCCGCCAAAACTTTGCTTGTCACTGAGCCGGTGTTTGGCGAAGAAACTCCTCTAAATTGAAATTCTCTAAATTGGCATCAAAAAAAATGTTATAAAATGCTAAGCCATCATGCTAAACTCAAAGAAAAGCGATTGTGAAAGCTAAAGTGAAAATGAAGCTTTTATCATACAGTAATAAAGGAGCCGACGGGAGACCGGATTGGGCTTCGCTGAATCGAAATTTTCAAAAGTCAACAAGAAAAATGAATTTTGAAAATTTAAAACTGGTTTACCCATTGATTTGCACGATTTGCGGAGTCCAAATTTGAATCCAATAGAAATTCAACCACGACAAGCCCCATTCCTGCTTTTGCCACGAGACTTTAGTATCGTTCCAGCTCTGAGAATTTGATCTTTCAAAGTTCATTAGTTCAAAGTTTCAAAGTACACGTTTTATTAGAAATTTCAATATAACCTAAATTCTAACATAAGGAATGTTTACTTCCAGGTCTAACACTTGCAAATTTGACCAAAGTTTTAAAGGACTAGGCAGTTGAAGCGTTTTGGGGAACGATCCCGATTTGGGGCCGATTCTCACCATAACCAAACTTTCGCTGACTCCTTCTTTTTTTTTTAGAAGTTTGCAAAGGGAACACCTATCTATCGGGCGGGTTTGCCAGATTACGAGCGATTACGCGACCGCACAAAGAACAGTTTACCAGTCATTTCAGGGACTTTTCTTTCGCTTTATAGATTGCTCAAAAATGTAATATACAGCTTTAATTTCTACCCTGGGGCTTTCGGGATCGGGGAATCGATTGGAGCTATTTATTTTATTGAGTCTATCAATTGGAACACGAGTTTAATTGATGTAAAACCTAGAGACTAAGCTGAGGTACTCAAAGTTGAAACTGAGCTGCTGATTTCATCTTTTGATTCTCGATAACTTGATAAACTGATTTATTTGAAAATCAATTTCTACATAAAAGTTTATTAAAGATCTATTTTACTGTTGATAATTTGATTTTAGTGAGAATTGGTCCCAAGCCCAGCTCCCTCCTTTCACATTGTACTTAACGCATTGTACCTAACGCATTGTACCTAACACATTGTACTTAACACATTGTACTTAGCACATTGTATTTAACGCATTGTACTTAACGCATTGTACTTAACACATTGTACTTAACACATTGTACTTAACACATTGTACTTAACACATTGTATTTAACGCATTGTACTTAACGCATTGTACTTAACGCATTGTACTTAACGCATTGTACTTAACGCATTGTATTTAACGCATTGTACTTAACGCATTGTACTTAACGCATTGTACTTAACGCATTGTACTTAACGCATTGTACTTAACAACTCGAGATTGTTGATTCGAACGCTTTCAACGCGAACCTCTTGTACACAAACAAAACAAATTTCGATAAAACCAACCAAAACCATTCGTCCATACACCCGAACACTTTGCTTCTTCTCATCCTGAAATGAATTTTGGTTTTTGAATTCAACATTTTCCCTCACAATTTCGAGATTGTTGATCCGAACGCTTTCAACGCGAACCTCTCGTGTCGTGTTTTCTGTATCGTTTTTGTAAGTCTCCTAAAGTTAATTTCTTTATTTCAGTTTTCTTTTTGCTACTTGAATATGCTGTCGTAGCTTCCAGGCTTTCTCTCCTCCTTGACAAGAATGACACGATTTTCTGCAATTCGCCATCATCCTGGAATTGAACTTCTACAATTGTTCTACACAAATCTTCACTTTGGCACCACAACAACCACCAGAAGCCACTAGAAATACTGAGAAAAATCGCGCTGAACTGACTTCTTTTGGAACACCCTGTATATCACTTCATTCTTGATCATACTTTCATTTTCGACACAAAGCCTAAGAACTCGAGAACTCTACCAGACAGCGTTCGTCGAGCACTCTCCTTGTGTTGCCCATTCGGTGCATTTCGGATCCGCATCTTCGCATCCTTTTGGCTCACTCAACCCTAGAATGTTTTAGAAATTTTCTAATCAACTTTTGATGGTCGCTCAATCGCTTCAACTGTTCAATTATCCAACAGTTTTGATAATCACTCACCATAATAAGGAGCGATCAATAGTAGAAGCAGTAATCGCATTCCTAAATATCCATTAGAAACAAGAAATTTTCTGTTAAAGCAAAGAAGATATTATAAAAAGAGCAAAAATTATAACAAATCTGTTGATTCATCGATTCAATCTCATTCCATTTCCTTTAAAATTTTATTTCCCCTTCCATTTCCTTATTTCCCTTCCATTTCCTTATTTCCCAAAATGATTTTCGCTCGTTTGTCAGTCTAGAGACTCTTGGGTGGATCTTTTGTCCATTTTTCTTCATTTTCTTTATTGTTTTGGAAAATGAAACACAGAAAATGCATGGTTACTTAGAAACGAGCAATGGAGATGCATTGAATGCGAAATTAACTAATCGTCACACAAAAAGAAGGGGAAGGAGTTCTTAAAACATTCTTCAATTCTAACTCTTCTTCAAATCAGCTTAACTTTTTGTTGTTTTATCTTTTTCTTTTTTCTACAATAAAATTAGAGTTTCAAATTGCTTTCAAAGCTTTTCTAAATGTATCTAATGATTCTAATGATTCTAATGATTCTAAGTGATTTAGATTCGATAGAAAATTGTTTGGCTCATGATTTAGATTTATTAGATAGGAAAATAGTATAGACAAATAAAAGTGGCTTTTCAGCATGATTATCCACCAAATTAGGGCTATGAGAAGCTTTTTCTTTTCAAGGATCAAAGAGATCTGATAATCGGATGGATATCCCAGCAAATGGATGGCAGATGGAGTGAGGAAAAGGAAAAGAATAGAGGAGAACAAGGCGGATAATTGAGAGTCTGAACTTTAGACAAGGATCCGAATCTAAACGAGGATATTGATAGGATATCGTAATTTATGCTAGACTTCCTTAGCATTTAGAATTAAGGCAGAATAGAACGGATTACGGTAGAGGAATTGAAGTAGATTTAGCAAAGAGCTGTAAGTAGCAAAGAGCTGTAAGTAGCAAAGAGCTGTAAGTAGCAAAGAGCTGCAAGTAGCAAAGAGCTGTAAGTAGCAAAGAGCTGTAAGTTCTGTAAATATCTGATCCGTACTTTGTGCTCTCTGATGCACTGGATTTTCACTTTCTTGTGCAAAATACGAATTAATCTGGCTTTGAGGTTAAAGATTGAAGTTATTAGAAAGTAAAAACGATAACCTACATATGAACAGGTTTAGGCTTTCTGTCAATCTCTCTTTTCTCTATCATTAGAATACTTTTGAACATTAGAACACATTAGAACACTATCATTAGAACACATTAGAACAATTCATTCCTCTATCACTAGAAAACATTAGAACAATTCATTTCTCTATCATTAGAATACTTTTTGGTTGAAACAACCAATTTCCTTTGGAATCTTTTAAATAGAAATTTATAATTTATCTTATTTTTAAAAAGGTTTTTTAAAATGAGTAAGTGATTTCAAAAAGGAAATGGATAATCAACGAGTGTTAGCCAGATTTAGAGATGACTGCCTATGACAGATCTTTCCGGAGAAGAGAGCCAACGAATCCAGAGAAAGCTTGTGGTTTTGGAAAATTCTCAAAAAAAACGGCAAAGTTGGGAAGAGGAGAAGGAAAAGGAGAAAGATCTCTTTGAGATTTGCAGAGAAATGAGAGAATTGAGGAAGAGGAAAAGGTGATTGGAAAAGAAGAGAGAAAGAGATGATGGACCGGTTCCATGCCATTTGTCGGCCATCATCGACTCCCTGTTTTGAAAGAAAAGAAAGAAAAAGAAAGCCTGGAAGCCTGATCAGCCGGCGGGGAGACTGGGGAAGTATTTTTGAGCCACCACAAACCGCGCCGGCTTTCCGAAGCTGCCGGAGATTTTGAGAGAACGGGGAAACAATAATTCGTAGATAATTATCTGAGCTAACAGCTGAGCTAACAAGGGGAAATGGTCTCAGCTCAAAGTTGAGAATCAATTCGAGGTTATAGAAATACTTGCTGATTTCGAATCTGCAAAAATTAGCTCCGGACTTGCACGTAAACGTGGGGAATCTGGCATAGAAAATTTGCAAATTTCGGAATCTTTATGGGCCGTCAGAAGACTTTTTCAATGGCTTCTGTGGTTTAGCGGATAGGGTGCTAGTCTACGAAACGAAACTCGATTTTTTGGCTTGGCTTCGATGCATAAAATATAATATTTAATGCAAAGACATCAGAAAAATTCCCAAAATCCAAAAAAGCAAGAAAATCGGTGAGGGAGGATTCGAATCCAAGCCAAAAAATCGAGTTTCGTTTCGTACACCAGCACCCTATCCACTAAACCACAGAAGTCATTGAAAAAGTCTTCTGACGACCCATAAAGAGTCCGAAATTTGCAAATTTTCTCTACCAGATTCCCCACGTGCAAGTCCGGAGCTAATTTTTGTAGATTTCGAATCAGCATGTCCGACTCTATAAGATTCGAATCGATTCTCAACTTTGAGCTGAGACCATTCTCTTGAAAGATTGATTAATAGAAAGATAGATTAAGGTATAGATGGTTAAGCAGAGATCACATACAGAACAAAACCCACAATAAGTTTATGGTTTAAAGATGAATTGAAGATTAGCTATTGATAGATTCAAGTTTATCACATGTTCCTTACTTTGCCACTTTTTTACTTTGCCTACCTGCCTGCGTGCCACTTTGCCACTTGAATTCAAGTTATCCATACCGTATTTACTATTATAAGTGTAAATATTAGCCTTATTATCTTCATAATATCTTAATTATTATTATATCTTAAATACTATTATATCTTAAATATTATTATATCTTTATTATTATTATATCTTAAATACTATTATATCTTATTATCTTTAGAACTTCAAACGATGGGCTGCAACGTCTCTTCAAATGGACAATTTGAACCAGAGAAGTTGAAAGTTGAAGAAACTTTAGAAAAGATCTCAAAAATTCAGATACGATTCAATTTGGAGCGCATTGCCAAGTGTGCAAACACCGATGGATGGAAAAAGGAAGAACTCGAAGGTCACTCTTGAGAAACAGATTGAAGAGTAGTTTGAAAACTACCGTATTTACTCGAATAGAAGACCGGCCTCGATTATAAGACCGTCTCGAATAGAAGATGGGGTCTAGGGAGTGATTGAAAAAATAGGAGACCGGTCTTCTCTTCGAGTAAATACGGTAAACTGTTCGAGTAAAAAGCATGACATAAGAAATTCATATCCTTCGGAACAAGTAAAAAACTAGAGAATTCTCGTTTTCATTCACGGCCCATTTAAGGGAGAATTTTGAGAGAAGAAAACGGAACTTTAATGCTTTCTTTGACAAAAAAACAGGACTTTTTAATACACTGGTTGAAAGGAAAAGTGAAAACTATAAGTGAAAACTTATAAAACTATAAGAAAACTAACTTTCAATCTATAACTATAAATTTTAGATTATGAGATTGAACATCGTGTCAACGTTTAAAGATTTTCGAAATGAACGTGTTGCAATACATGATTTGGTGAGAATCTTTATCCAATTCTTCATCCAATTCTTGAGAAGTTTAAGTTTAGTTAAGATTAAAGTAAAGAAAATAATGTAGAAAGTGACATTTAGTGATTTTAGCTAGAAGATAGAGAAATTGTGATGGCGGCAAGAGCAAAAGGGGTCATTATTCAATTGGAGGATTTCAATGCTGGACAAAAGGTCAAGATTTAACTGGCTTAGGTTAAAGTTAGCTTTAAATAACTGTTACGTTTGGTTTGAATACTTCAAAACTCTCGAGGCTCTTCAGGCTTCACTCGATGATCCTCACTCAATCTATGCACTCACTCATTGCCTTTTGGAGAGTCAACTCGACAATGGAAATCCCTATTATATACATTTGTTTGGGTAGAGTTTGATGAGAGACTTCTTTAAAAAGATATTCAGTGAAGTGTTGGGTTATGTGATTCGCCCTGATTTCAATGATCAAGAGTTTTTAAATCGTTTCGGTTTGAGGAAAGGACTCGCGTTGTCTGAGGCATCTCTTGTACTCTCAAGACTCAACAATCCAAATGGTAAAGTAATAGAGGAGTAAGTAAAATAACTATAGCTTTACTTATTATAGCTTATTGTAGAACTTTGCAAACTACTTTGACGTTGTTTTTTAGGGATTTATTTCCGACGAGATGCCTCATTCCTGCGAGAAATCCCCTTTCATGAGCCGGTGTTCATCGATGAAACAACCAGCCGTGATCGTGCAAATTATCTCGCAGATAGTGTCCAGAGAAAAGTCAATGTTCGTTTTTCAAATCACTAAAAACGTTTTTAAATTGTTTCGGTTTGAGGAAAGGACTCGCTTTTCGTTTTTAGTGAAAATCTCAACTAAAAAAAAATCATTTTTCTACAAAAGATACTTCTTTCTTCTTATCTAAGAAGAAAGATACTTCTGGTGGTTAAAAAAATGATGATGATGATGATGAAAAAACTGCACAGGTGGTTTAGTGGTAGAATCTGCCACGCGGGCGATTCGAGTTCGTTTCCTGGCCTGATAAATTCGGATAGAAGGCACTCAGTGAATCAGTGGGTGCGAGGTTCTCCACTAGAATCACTTAAATGTAAAAGATAAAAACAGAAATTTAGATATTTCTGTAAATCTTGTTATTCCCGAATATCTCCCAAGTGAGAGAAAACTTTTCCGTGAAAACTTGATAAGTTGAGTAAAAACTGGATAAAAAAAGGGGGGAAAAGAGAAAATCTGGATTTCCCAAGGACAGTGAGAGAAAAGAAAAGCTGGGAAATGATATAAGAACGGATTTTGATGGAGAGAGAGAAGAGGGGAAAGCGGGTGTTCGGATCTGTTTATTGCATTTTCGATGTTGATTGATATAGGAATTTGGAAAAATAACAAAAGTTAGTGTAGAATTTCAGAATAAAGCAAGATTTACTAAGCTATTCAAAGCTTGAAACAGTCTAACCTTTTGTCTAACTAGGCTTTGTTATCATAAAAGATGAAAACTTGAATCTTGAATCTTGAAATGACTCAAGAATCAGCTCTCGGTCTTTAAATAACAATAGATTTTGAATCTGTTGTTGAATCTGTTAATTTATAAGTGCAACGCTATTTAAGACAAGTGATTGAGAAGAAGGTCCGCTCAGGGGTGCTTTGGTCGCACAGTTACGGGCACAGTTAAGGGCACAGTTCAGGGCTTTCAGGGCACAGTTACAGGGGTTACGGTACAGTTACTGGGTACATTAAAGGGCACGTTTCCGTTTTTACATTATGATGGAAATTTTTATGGGAAAAAATTCAAAGCTGTCTTCCGACTCGGTCATTGACCAAACTTTATACACCATTATAAAAATGACAATTTTATGTAGTTTTCGAAAAATCTTGCCTCTTGAATCTTTTGATCCATGAAATTACAGGCCTGAACGAAGATTTTGAGATTGAAACCCCCTGGGCCCCCCCTCCCCTTCTCAATCCTGTCTTAAATAGTGTTTTAAATTAACCAGACGTGTTCTAAATCGTTTTTCGCGGGAATTCGATTTCTTCTTTTAATCGTTTGTAAAATTACCATATTGCAAATACAAGTATCGGACTTTTGGCGCACCCTGTAGATTTCAATATTTTAGAACTATCACATCTATCAGTGCACCACCGAGGGAATCAACAACACATACAACAAAGCTGTCATCATGAAAGGGTAAACAAGAAACGGTTGATTTACAATTTCAAAATTTAGCCTAGAATCACTAAAACAAACAGTGAAAGAGTTCATTTTGTCGCATTTGGCTACTGACTTTTCGGCAAGGACATCAAACGAGAATGAAAATGGAAAGAATGAGAAAAGGAAAAGAAAACATTCGAAATTGAATGACGAACATGAGACGGCTATTCTCAAAGTTTGGATTAGCTTCTCTCTTAATCTGAAATTCTTTTAGGTAATGGCTGCAGTTGAAACGCATGATGTGATTTTGATTCATGGAGATTATGGAAGTGGGAAATCGGCAGTTCTTGCTAAGGTTGATAGATTGATAGATTAATCATTTTCAGTCATCAATTGTCATTCAGCTTTTCAACAATAGCTTTTCAACAATAGCTTTTCAGCAATAGCTTTTCAGCAATAGCTTTTCAGCTTTAGCTTGCTTTTCCTTTCTTAACTTTTCCTTTAAGCTTGCTAAAGATCGATCAATTCCTTTGTTCTTTGGGCAATCTGGAAAGGATCTCAAAAATCAAATCAACGAGGAAAACAAAGAGATTTGCATTGATGATATTGATGTGGTGAGCTTTTTTGAACATCAGCTTTATTGAACACCAGCTTTCTTGAACACCAGCTTTATTGAACATCAGCTTTTTTGAACATCAGCTTTATTGAACACCAGCTTTTTTGAGCCCCAGCTTTTTTCAGCACCAGCTTTTTTGAACACCAGCTTTTTTGAACACCAGCTTTATTGAACATCAGCTTTATTGAGCACCAGCTTTATTATCCTTTTATCAATCAAAAACATTACAGTTATCCAAGGATGAGATCCTTGCAATTTCTTCGGATTTTGTGAAAAAGAATGGCAAACTTTTCGCTACTTCAAGAAAAATCCCACGAGCTTTAGTCAAGGTGAGAATAATAATAACACAATTTGACAGTTTGACAACAAAATGACAGTTTTACAGAATAATGGAGAGCTTAAATTGTTCACGATTCAGCTGGCTAACTCGGAAAATCAAGATCACATCAAGGTTGGTTCATCAAGATATCAAGATCAATTTTTATCTGTTCAAGGCAAGACTTTAGAATATCTTATGTCAATATTTGACTTTTGTCTCACCACAAGAGGAAAATGAGTCAATGATGTCGAGGTTTGAAAAGAATAACAATCAATAAGGCAATGAATAAAGCAATGAAGAAGGTTTGATGGAAGCAATGAATCGGAAAATTTGTAGAACTTTTGACTCGGAGACGATTAGAATTGCGGAGACAATTATGGAAAGGACGAGTGCACGAGATGAGAATGAAATGGAAGAGGGTAAGGAAAAGGATTGAGATTCTTTACTGTACTGGATTAGAACTATAGCCAAGTCTGCTACCAAGTTGGTACAAGGATTTCAGCCTTCTGGCTTCTGGCTGGCTTGGCTAAGGTTCAGGATTCAGTTGACCTATCCTTTCTAGTAATTATGATGAAGAAACTCTTAACTAGAATAAGGATGGATTGATTCAGTCAACTTTGATTGCTGATCTGACAACTGAGGCTTCATTCAACAAGCAACTGAGGCAACTGAGGCTTCATTCAACTTCACTCATTTCAGGCCTAAGCGCTCGATCTGATAGTGGTGGTTGGTCGACGGAGAAAGCGACAATCCTTGGCTCAATGGTTCGTTTTGGAGCCAAACCGACGACAGCCAGGGAATTGATCAAGTATTCAACTGCAAGGTTGGCAAAGTACAGAAGATTTCTATGGGAATTTAGCATTTGTGAAGCTGATTTGCATTTGATGGAGGCTGAGATGAGGGGACATCTTCTCATCGGATCACTCTGTATCTTGACCATAGCCAGTGATGGGATTGAAGAGAGACAATTGCGGAGATTACTAGCACCCGAAGATCAGCTCCTTCCTGTGAGCTTTAAGAGGAAAGGGCGTGGATTGATCTATGGTAATTTGAAGATTTGATGACTTGATGTGATGACTTTCTTTCGTAAATCTCATTTATTTTTAGATTTTTGCGATGATCGATATGGGAAACGGGAAGAGGTACTTGCATTGAGATGGAGGTGAGATCGAATGAAGCTAAACTAGCTAAATTACTAGTGCTACCAGTACTACAGTACTGATAGTTGATTGCAAATCACTTATCGAATCTCTTTTCCAGATATGTGCGAATGCGAATCGGTTATTATCTTCAAATGGTTGACTTGGATCGACACGCACTCTCGATTTCACCTGTCTGTAAAAAAGTTGTTCAAAAGAGGTGATTTTGAATATCAAATCTGACTACATAACTCTAAAATCTTAAACTGAACAAAAGCAATACTTGATTTCAGATACTTGAGCAACGAGCAAACTCTGGAACACTTTCAACGAATGATGCAACGGAAATAAGAATTTTGATAATAAATATTTTCTGCGAACCGGAGAAAATGATGAACGAGACTATCTAGAAATAGCTTACAAGGAAATCGTCTAAGCGGAGGATGGCAAGAAGGCATGGCAAGAAGATGATGGCAAGAAGATGTAAACGCCATTTGGCAATAGGGAATCCAATATTGTATTTAGTTTTTGTCAAGGAGGCCGCATTCTTGAGAAAAACGCGTTTAAAATCTAGGCATCTACTGGCTCCTGGAGGTTAAGAGGTCTTTATCGCGCTCGAAAAAACCTGACCGGATGGCCTAGTGGATATAGCCCAGTGGATATAGGCCTAGTGGATATAGGCTTAGTGGATATAGCGAGTTATCAATTCAATCCAATCTCGGGTTCAATTCCGGCCCACTTTCCTCGAAGAATGAAAATCATTTTTGCCATCAAAAACAAAAGCAAATTTTACCATTCTTGGCATCAAAACTTCCGTTTAGACCATTCTCTTGTTAGTCAAGACAAAGGCAGTACTATTCGTTGTTCTTTGGCAAGAGTACTACAAAAGCAGTACTATTCGTTTGAGGCAATACTATTCGTTGTTCAAAAAGCTTTTGGTTCACTACATCACTTGAACTCTCTAGTCAGTGCAAGCTTATTCCAAGACTACCCCTTGGGCTACGTGTCCCTGGAACGGAAGGGGAAAAGAATTGAATCAAATAAAGGAAATAGAGAGAACGAAAAGAAAACGAGCACTGATAAGCTTTGCATGTGAGGAAAGCAATCACTTCACTTCTCTCTTTTGATTCTCTTTTTGTGGGCACTTCCCAAAAGATCCTGTTCACCAGGGTGATGTCTCGACTTAAATTTGGATTTATTTTGTTAACTGGTTTGTTTTTAGGGTAATTCTATTTGTTTTAATGATCAGCAAGTAGTTTAAAATCATTTTCAAATTTAAATTCTATCTTGTTCTTAAAATATAACCGAAACCATTCTTCAGCTTGTTATATTGGCATTTAAAATGACCTAGATATGTTAAAAGATACAAGCCAGTTGTACTAAAAGTTTATGTAATCGATTTTCTGCAATTTCAGTGATACTTTTGTGTAATGGAGAAGAAGAGCAAGAATCGACAGGGGTAAGGAAAGATGTTGATGATGCGGATAGACCGAAAGCCTCGGGAACGGGAGGCGGATGGGAGAAAACGAGGTTTCATCTTTTTATTCAACAAATTTCTTTCAATTTTTAAACTTTTCGACTTCAGATACTGTCTATTTTAGCATTTAACAACTTTGAAAGTGAAAATCTAGACTTCTCTTCTTGGACTACACATTCCGAGGTGAATCTATGATCTATGATGTGATCGAGAACAAGAAAAACGCGCAATCAACAGGTAGAAAAGTTTAAATGAAAATTTGGTAGATAATCTGTACAGACAGACAGACAGACAGATAGGCAGACAGATAGACAGACAGACAGACGGACAAACAGACGGACAGACAGACGAACAGACAGATAGACAGACAGACAGACGGACAGGCAGGCAGACGGACAGGCAGGTAGGCAGACAGACAGACGGACAGGCAGGCAGGCAGACAGACAGACAGACAGACAAGCAGGCAAGCAGACAGACAGACGGACAGACAGGCAGGCAGGCAGACAGACAGACAGACAGGCAGGCAGGCAGGCAGACAGACAGGCGGACAGACAGACAGACGGACAGACAGACAGACAGACAGACAGACAGACAGACAGACGGACAGACAGGCAGACAGGCAGACAGACATTGCTCTTTTATATATAGTAGATATTGATCTTTGATAGCATAAGAACATAATTTTTTTAGTGATTGAAGCAAAGTACACCTGGGAAACCCTTCACCATGATCAGTTGTCCTCCGTGTTCAGTCGAATTAAGGTAAACTCAATTCAAATTTGTAACCAATTTACATTTAATAGATGAAAGATTGTCCTTGCATCTGAATCTTGCATCAATACAAATTCAGTTTGTCGAATGTATCTCTGGCCCATGTGGAGACGAGTTTGACGACGTTTACATCAGCTTTGTTCAAGGCGGCAACAATATCGAAGAGGTTTATATGGATCTGAGGTTGTTTCAAAATGTCAAAGTTATTTCGGATCGAAATTTCTGAAATATTCCTAGCGCAATTTGTTGACATTAATTGATAAACTTTGTGCACAATTGCACTCTACAATAGTTGTATTAAAAAAGTTATATTGAAGCTAAAATTTAATACCATATACTCAATATTTCCTTTGATCTTTGCCGCCAACCGCCAACTTTTTCGTCTTCACCGCTTTCTCAAAACACAAAAGTTAGCGGCGAGATCAAAGATCACCACATTTGATCTCGCCGACCTTTGATCAAATTGGGTTAACTCAAAAACAATTAAAGATTTCACAATTCTGATTTGACAAGCAAAATTGCCGTAGTTGATTACATATTGTCCCAAAAAATTAGACCGAAAATCTCACTGGGACTCTAGTTATGAAGTGAATACACACACACAAACACTGTGTCAAATAATAACAAGGGAAAGCCAACTGGCTGAGCCGGTCAAATGCTATTCCACCTATACCATTCGACGCAGAATTTGATGCTGATTCTGAATAGATTCCGTTTTTGCTAAATGACAATCTGCCAGGAGTTATAAGCGTCTAAAGTTTTGTTAGGACTCTGAAAATGTGGTCATTTGGGTCTTAGCGGCCTTCTTGTGGGCTGCGTCATTTGGGTCTTAACGGCCAGCCGTGGTCGAGTGGTGAAGCGTTTGGTTCCAAAGCGGGCCTCACAAGTTTGGCTTTTGCTTTTTTTTCAAGAAGTGCTGACTGGTGATCTTTGTACGCGCACAACATCTTTCTTGTTGTCACAGTTTTATAAAGTTTGCTTATAACTCCTGGTAGATTGTTAAAAACGGAATATATATTCGGAAACAGTGTCAAATTCTCCGTCGAATGGTATAGATCGCATAGCATTTGGCTGGCTCAGCTAGTTGACTATCGCTTGTAAGTAAGATTTCATTTTCAGCGGAAAACCTGAAGGCTATGTGCCGAAATGGAATTTCCTTCTTGGAATCGCTAACATTGTCTATACGCCGGCAATTGGTGGAGAAGGAGACTCGCAATTTGTGGTAAGGAAAGGGATTGTTGACTGATGAAGAAGTTGAAGAGCTGACTGGTGAAGAAGTTGCAAACTGTGATCAATATCTTCTAGGATTCTCCCTATGGACCTTGTCAATACACTTTTGGTCGACCAGAGGATAAAAAATTCCGTCGAATCGTCGGTGGATGTGAACTCACAGGGAAATAGTTGAGTTTCTCAAGAAACCTGAAAATGCTCGAGTTTAGCAACTATTCCCGATTCGATGGCCTTCAAGTGACAAAGTACACACAAGATGTGCTTTACATGTAAGAAAAGTGATCTCAATTGGGTGATTTGAATGTTTTAGTCAAAACGTGAAACTCGACGCGGATATTGTGGTGATTGAGGCGGTCGAAGAGTTGACAATGAGAAGCCCAATCAATAGGAATTGGGGATTCGCGGCTGAGAGTCGGTGAGTGAGGAAGAGAAGAAGCTTAAAGTATCTAAATTATCTCTAAATTCAACCAATCGAACTTGACAATCTTCATCAAACTCATCAGAAATAGAAAAGAATATTTGTTGAATATGATGCACAAATTTTTCTAGAGTTCGCATCGAGATTTTGAACCGAACGAAGCTCTATGTTGATCGTCACTGTGATATGGATAGTCTTGTTGCGGATTGTGCACTAAACGTCTTTAAACTCACAAAAGTAGAAATTCTTGAAACATTCTTGAAACAATCAACAATTTAATTCATTTCTAGATCTCAAAAACGAAATATGAAGGAATACAACTGATGCCACCAAGAGAAAATAAGGTAGAGAAATTGATAGCTGATAGCTGATAGCTGATAGCTGATAGACTGATAGCTGATAGCTGATAGCTGATAGCTGATAGACTGATAGCTGATAGCTGATAGCTGATAAATTGATAGATTGATAGATTGATAGCTTTTGAGATTACGATTACGATAAGTTTACACAAAGTTCACATTTTAAAATTAAAAGACTTCATTTGATTTATGAAAAGCTTTAATAAACTTAATTTTACTTTACCTTTACTTTAAGACTTTAAGACTTTAAGACTTTAAGACTTTAATACTTTAAGACTTCAATACTGTAAGACTTTATCAAACTTCAGTTCGGCGAGATTGTTCACAAATATCGAGAGCATCTTTATGAAATGGGACAAACACACACATGCCAAGAGCATTCAAGGCTTTATTCCGGTAAGCTTTGATATTTTATTGAATTTTATTGATTTTGATTGAATTTTATTGAATACTTATCTATTTTGATTATTTTGATTGATTCAATATATCATTAATTTTGTAAAACTTTGGATATACTAGTTGTATTTAGATCTATTGAAGAACTAGTTGTATTTAGATCTATTGAAAGAAGCTCTCTCAGCAAGTGAACAAGATTTCGTTGAGGCAATCAGAGCTCCAGATAATGAACCGGTTTTGTTAGTTTTTAACGAATTATATAAAAATATATAAGGATTGAAAGTGTAAGTGTTTTTTTTTTGAAGTTAAAGCTTTTGAGTGAATAATGTTTAAATTTGCTAACGAAAATATTCAGAGCTGCGATCGGAAATGCTCTTGGCTCGGTTGGAAACGTCGAGAGCCTCAAAATCGCTAAGGAGGTATTCAAATTTGATTGGAATCTATTATTGAATTCCAATTTGATTGGAATTCAATAATAGATTTTGATTGAAACATCAATTTTTCAGTTTTTATTGATCGAATCACCAGAAAGCCTTGATCCGTTCTTGTTCGGTGTTGCGAATGCTGTAAGAAATGATGAGAAATGGCATAAACATTTGATGGTAAGTAATCAATAATCAATAAGTAATCAAAATCGAAAGTAAAATCAACTCTAGTATTGGTTGGTCGAGGAAAAAGATGCTGGCCACGTCGAGAATTATCGAAAAATCGCGAACTCGATGGCGACAGTTTTGAAGAAAAGATGTGAAGCGACGATGGGGAATAACAATGCTTGCGAGAAAGGAAATGATAAGGTTTGGAAGTTGGAATTGGTTATTGATTCGTTATTGATTCATTATTGATTCATTACTGATTCTTTATTGACTCATTACTGATTCATTATTGATTCTTTATTGATTCATTATTGATTCACTATTGACTCATTACTGGTTCATTATTGATCCATTATTGATTCATTATTGATTCTTTATTGATTCTTTATTGATTCATTACTGACTCATTATTGATTCATTGATTCATTATTGATTTATTACTGACTCATTATTGATTCTTTACTGAATCATTATTGATTCATTACTGATTCATTACTGACTCATTATTGATTCATTATTGATTCATTGATTCAGATTTCATAGCACTTAACAAAGTGCTTACACTACTTGAAACCATCTTCAATACCTAGCCATTCTTTCACTTCAAATTCCTAACCATTCTTTCACTCTTTCAATTCCTTTCATTGTAAAACTGATTTATCTTTATTTGCTTTGATTAATTTACATTTAAATTTGTATTTTTAGGTATTAAACAAGTTCCTCTCCGTGCTCTCTGACACAAAAAGCGATGAAGACGTTGAGCATGCTTTATTGACTTTGGTGAATCTACCCTATACAGAGTGAGTTGAGAAAAATAGTTACTGTGATAAGATTACAAATAATATAACTAACTTCTAATAGTTCCCATAATCTTATGATAATAAGCTTCTTTTAGCTCTTACACCTATGCCCGGAAATTCATTTGCCTTGGAAGAACGGAGGGAATTGAACAAGCCGCGCTACAAGTGCTCACCCGCATACCAGCTAAATTCTACGATTCACAGGTTCTTTAGAAATAAATCTTTTGAGCAATTATTGTCCAAACTTTTAGTTTTCTTATTTGAATGATTCAATAAAGAGAAAATCCCATCATTTCAACAAAATCTTCCTTTAATCACAGGTGATTCGAGCTGTGGTGAATGTTTTCCGTGACACTTGCCCCACTCCCACAAATCTTCATCAAGCAAAGCTGGCAGTCGATATTTTACTTGAGTAATTAGACTTTAATTCTCTCTAATTACTCAAATCAATTTCAGTTCCGTTTTGGACCATCAAAATGCAGCTACTCTATTGTTGAGAGGTGAAAATCAATGGTTGAGAGATGAGGAGAGATGGAGCTATTTCTATAAAGCTTGTCAAGCGAGTCGGGTGAAAGATGAAAATGTAAGTGAAATCAGAAAATTTAAATACAAAATTTCGATCTAGAAAGACGTGATTTGGAAACAAATGCGAGCATTTAAAGTGTTTCGTCCAAATTGGAATCAAAGAGCTCTCACGGGAAAGTCTCTAGGATTCTATTCAGAGATTGGCGGTGATTTCAATATTTCAATCATTAAATCTTATCCAATTTTAGAAACAACTGGATATTTCTCTGAAATCGAGACTTCATCTCTTTATTCGGAAGGGATTTTTCAGGGATCAAGCCTGAAAATCGGATTGGCAAAGAAGAAAAAGAGGGACACATTGTTTGAGGTAAAAAGCTAACCTGAAGCAAACCTTAAAAGAGTCTAGATAGTAAATTTTGAAACTTAATATACACTAGATAATCTAAAAAGTTACCGTACAATTCTCTCATTCAGCTGGATGTTCAAGGAACCGGTCACGACTCAATACTCCGAAGCGGCACTCAAGCCTCAACCCCCAGTTCAATCACCCCGAAAATTGATGTCCGAATGGGCATTCTTGGACACAAAATGCCCAGGTTGCTTTAAAGAAATACTGTATTTGAAAATAAACAACATTCTATTGTCTAACCCTCAAATTCAGGGCTCGTATCGTGGACGGTGACGGTGATTTGATGGCTGGCGTTTGGGGAGCCGATGGGCACACGATTCAAGGATTTGAGGTTTATTTTGATCAAAATAAACATGATCAAACATCTAATATACACTTTAAATATCTAAATTTAAATTTAAAACCTCTAGATCTTGAAGCTATAGATCTTCTTGAATTGCAATCTTTACAGGGAAACGCACCGATTCGTGCCTATGAGAGCACGCTTCCACTTCTCTCTGGATTGACTTTACATATCAATTCGCATGGTAATTGTTGAAGAAAAAATTGAAAAGAGTTCTAAACTATGCTCAAAATCTATTTTATTAATGAATTTGTGTCTTTACTGACTCAAGTCTTTATCAAGCAGTAAACTAGGTTCGATGAACGCGAAAGTGTTTGGCTCTTGTGAGATCTCTTTATGGAATCGATTATCAGAGACGCATATTGATGTCAAGTGAGTTTGTTTTTAAAAAAATAGATTCATTTTTGCATTCCAATCAAATTCAAACCAATTTCAGTGTCTCTCTTTCTTTCGATGTTGAGGCAACTCTATTGGCGAATGGGAAACCGATTAACTCTGTGATCTCAAAGGTTGTTTGGTGTTGATGTTGATGTTCACTGGTTTTTGAAAGCAATTAATCTGCCAGAAAATCTACTATTTTCATTTTAACTTCATATTTCATCAAAACTAATCAATCTTTCAATCTTCTAATCTTCTAGTATTCGACAGTCTCTTCAGTCGGCAGTGTGACCGATGTGGACTTCTCATCAGTTCCTCCACTCGCTTGTATGCAAACCTCGCGACAGAAAACCCCAATCAGGTATGAGTGAAATGAATGGATGGTTTTGGATGGTTTGAATCGTCAACCGTTGATAACAATCGTCAACACTTGATAACAAAATTATCGAATAGTTGTAGTCATTTTTGGAGATCAAACTCTCAACTCAGACGCATTATTCTCTGTTTCGCTGCTGTTTAAAACAATGGTGTGGACAGGATCTAGAATTTCTAGCAAAATTACTAGCAAATTTACAGCAGAATTTTGGGAGAATTATTGAATCTACCAATTGGAACACGGGTTTAATTTGGCTAAACTTTTTTTAAACTAAAAAACTCGGAAACTATTGGGTTGGTGAATTGAAAACTGCCGGACTTTTGAACTAAAATTTATTCAAACTTCTGCCCATTTTACAGGCAATTTGTGGATTCCTCTTTCGTAGTAGGATTTTGGTTTGTGTGAGACAAGTGTGAGACTCAAAAATGGAGGACTGGAGATGTCTCAGTTTGAGCATTTGAGCACTTTCTTCAAAAGAAACCCATTTTGGTGTCAATAGAAAAGTTGTAGAGAATCAAAAATTAGGCTTATAGCCAAATTTCCAAAAAGATACACTTAGTAGTTTCGCTTAAAGTGCAAGTTTTGTGAAAATTCGTAAATTTGGCATTTCTTGAAAACCAGTTTTTGAATCGTTCTGAAAATTTGGATATAAGCTTGATTTTTGATTCTCTACAACTTTTCCATTGACACCAAAATGGGTTTCTTTTGAAGAAAGTGCTCAAATTGTCCCATATGACAATAGCCGACAGTTTTCAAGTCATCAACCCAATATATCAAAAAGTTATTCCTACACCTAGCTGCTGATAATTTGGTTTTATTGAGAATTAGTCCTAAATCCCTGCTTTAAATCACTCATCACTCCATTTCAGTTTCGCAGTCACTCTCGAGGATCATGTGAAGAAAGCAAGAAAAGAAAGACAAATCATTGACAAGCGAATTTCATCGGAAACATATCCAATGGCTGATGGATTGATGAATGATTGTAATGAGCATCGAAACAGAAATGATGATCCATCAAGACATCAACAACCTAGGGAAGAGTTATAGTTAAGATTTTTTGATTGTTGAAATGATTTGAATAAAGATACAAAATCGACATGATATTATTCCAAAAATTCTAAAGACTTCTAAAGAATTCTATAGACTCATTATATTCAGGTTAAACGATTAATTGTATAGATGGCCTAATCTTTAGGTTCTAAATCCTTCTTTTTGCCAATTTTTTCCCTGTTTTTCTCATCAAGATAAAGCGCTCAAAGGTCGGGCGGTGGTCAAGCGATCATTTTTTTGCCAGCTCACAAATTGATTATGATCAAGATTTATGATTAAAACCTAATCCGCTCAGAATCACTTGAGCTAATCTGCTCAAAACATAGAAACACACCCTTTCTCGTGTGCTCTTTTGTGTACTCAATTCTCATTTTTCTCATTTCTTCAATAAATTTGAAGAGAAGAGCATTGATTGCATTTAAAGAGAAGGAAAGTTCATCATTCATCATTCATCATCCATCATTCATCATTCATCATCCATCATTCATCATTCATCATCCATCATTCATCATTCATCATTCATCATTCATCATTCATTGTTCATCTCGTAGCTCACCCTTGAGCCAAAGCTTTTCCCACTAAATTTAAAAGAGAAAGATGGGATTTACAAGGAAAAGAGTTTAACAATGGGTACGATAAGCTCAAAAGTTAAGTTTATTAACCTAAAAGTCTTACTGTTTCATCTTACTTATTTCCCTAACTCTAGCTCAACTCCAGTCTCTATTCTAAACAGAAACTTATCACTACTGTGATTTAGTAAGATCTAAAACAAGAAAGGATGGCTCTCGTTAAGTTTTAGATGTTAACAGCAGAGACGGAGAATGTCACTGACACTGACACTAACACTAACACTGACACTGACACTGAGTCGATAGAGATGTTCTCTCGAAAAGGAACTTGAGTACTCGGCTTGAGAGGGCAAAAATCGGATTCACGATTACGCTGAAATGGGTCAATTTGTTCCATATTGTTTTCATTGAATGCAATGAAAGCAATATGGAACAAATTGGCCAGCTGTCAGCTGTCAGCTGCCAGCTGTCAAATGGAGATGCGATTTCCGAGAAACGTTTTCGTTGCCGATCTTCAAAGCGGCTAAATGTGACTGTGATTCTGCTTGCGAGATGATCGAAATTACGAGTCATATTTTCCCAGGGCTAAGCAATTTCTTCTTGCTAGCTTATTGTGTACATTGGTGTTATTTCAGACAGAAGTGCCATTGCGCCGCCATTGAACAAAGCCATTGACAGAATTCAAAACGATTCCATTGTTTATTCCACAAATAGAGTGCAAACATTTTGTGAACCGTTTCTGAGAAAATGAAAAATAGAAATTTTGTGCAAATGATGTTCTATTTTATTTCTAGAAGATATCTTTAGAAAGAAAAACAAAATGCACTTTGTCGTTAAGAGCTCGTTTAAGAGCTCGTTTAAGAGCTCGTTTAAGAGCTCGTTAAGAACTCGTTAAGAGCTTGTTAAGAGCTCGTTTAAGAGCTCGTTAAGAGCTTTCTCTATTTTAGAAACAAATTCCCATTGTAAATTAAAAAATGAATGTGCCAGATAGGGTACGTTAACCTATTTTACGAGGGAAAAGTACACAATTTATTTGATGACAAAAATCAAATACACCCGGAAGGCTTGGGCGGCCAATCACACGTGGTAATCTTTGGATTCCAAAACAAACCCGAATGACAGTGCATATGATATGCAATCCAATTCCCACATTGCCAATAAGCGTTGCAATTCCGTGGGTCTCGATAATATCCCGCTCGGGCCGGACATGTGAATCCTGCAAATTATTTCTGACTAAACTTGCCGCTATCATATTACATACTTCCCGTTGTGGTGGTTGTAGTCGTAGTAGTGGTAGTTGTTGTGGTGGTGGTTGTTGTCGTCATTGTTGTTGTTGTAGTTGTGGTTGTAGTAGTTGTAGTAGTTGTAGTTGTTGTTGTCGTCGTTGTAGTAGTTGTTGTCGTCGTCGTCGTTGTTGTTGTTGTGGTGGTCGTAGTAGTGGTTGTAGTTGTAGTCGTTGAGCTGGTGGTAGTTGTAGTAGTAGTTGTTGACGTTGTTGTGGTAGTTGTAGTCGTTGATGTTGTTGAGGTGGTAGTGTCAGTAGAGCTTGTCGTGGTCGTTGTTGTCGTAGTTGTAGTCGTTGATGTTGTTGTTGTGGATGTGGTGGTAGTAGTTATCGTAGTCGTTGTGCTAGTTGTAGTGGTTGTCATCGGAGTGTTCGTGGTTGACGTGGTGGTCTAAATTAAACATTGTTTTTACTTCTTTCACCAAATTCAGCAAAAGGAGAGAAATAAAATGAAAAGCTTTACCAAATTCAGAAGCTGGCTCACAATCTCTAAAGATAAAGGCTTCTCAATTTTGATAAAAGTAAAGGGTGTCCCGAAAGTTCTTATACTTTTTGTAAACGAAGAGCTTTACTCAGAAAACACGATATTTTTTTAAAACTAACGCCGGATGATGAAAATTCAAGTATATTGTGTTTTCCGAGTCAAACTATTCGTTTGTAATAAGTATAAGAACTTTTGCGACACCGCCTTTTGTACACTCACCTCCTTGAAGGCAAAATACATTTTTTGTGTAGATTCGCTCTCCGTTGAAAGTAAAAGTTTTCCATTGATCTCTAAATTTTTTCAATCTTTAAGACAACAGTCTAAAGGTTTCTTCAAAAGTCTATCAATGTGTTAAGGCTATCAATGCAGCTTATGAGAAGCAGCTTATGAGAAGCAGCTTATGAGAAGCAGCTTATGAGAAGCAGCTTATGAGAAGCAGCTTATGAGAAGCAGCTTATGAGAAGCAGCTTATGAGAAGCAGCTTATGAGAAGCAGCTTATGAGAAGCAGCTTATGAGAAGCAGCTTATGAGAAGCAGCTTATGAGAAGCAGCTTATGAGAAGCAGCTTATGAGAAGCAGCTTATGAGAAGCAGCTTATGAGAAGCAGCTTATCCGAAGAAGCAGCTTACCGAAGCCTCCGAAGCGCTCCGAACACCGAAGCAGCTTATCCGAAGCAGCTTTAAAATGCAAACAAATGGACTCACTTTCTTTTCGAACAAGCCAACACGTGTTCCGTTTTTCCAAAAGTCATTGTGATAACCTAAAATCCGATAGATGTTTTCAATGATTTTATTCACTTTTCCAAAAGCGGTAACCAAAGCTGTCCATTCATTTTTACCAGAACATGTCACTTCCAAATATTCACGATCATTCAACTCAAAGCTTCTAAACTCTTATTGATTCTTGATTGCACAAAACAAGCCTAAAACAGGCTTCAACCTTGTCTTTGGTGTTTTACAGGTTGACCCTGTTGAATGGAGTCGTTTAGGGCATTGTGCATGCCACATTTTCCTCTCACTGCAATGACTCTCTTCACTGCTGCTTGACCAGTCTTTCTCATATTGCATTCGATCACCATAAGCTACAAGTTAGAGCATTGAAGACTTGTGAATCTACAGAGTGGCGCAAAATTGTGGAAACTCAGTTTTTCGACTGTAACTCGACGCCCAATTATTCAATTCCTCTAATTTCATATTTATATGAAATTTCTGGATAATTTCTGCAGTCAGTTTCAATTTTTAGTTCAGAAACACAATGCTGCGCTTTTTATAATACTTCGAAGCATTATAAAAAGTTCAGAGGTCCTCTCGGCAGAATCATCGCTTTCGATAGTTTTCAACTTTCAAGAATTGCCCACAAATCAACTAATTCTTTTAGTTTTTTTTCCACTCCTTAGTTAAATTTAGACAAATATCACAAAATTCATTAACTTTACAAGACAACAAATCAGGAATCATTTGGGAGTTACCATACAGATCACTGCTCTGCTCAGCTTTCAAGGAATTCAACTATTGACTCTCAAAATTTTGAAATTATTGAAAATCTTCTGATGTGAAATGTCTCAGATAATTCTATTTCTTAATAAAAAGCAAAAATGAGTAAGCGGGAAATTCTTCAAAATACCTAAATGCTGTATTAGAATGACATGTCATTCTATTTTTCGATACCCCCTCCGGGTGTCTTTCGATTAGAGGGGATCGTTTTATCTCTCATTCGAATGGTCACTACGAATCACAAAAAAGTATCCATTTTTTAAAAAAAACGAATTTCATTCAACATATATTTTATTAAAAACATCAATTTTAACATAATTTTAACACAATTTTAACAAACAATAACAAATAAAACAAATTTGAAAAATCTTTTATGTAAATGTGGTGCCATTCTATTAGAGGGTGTCATTCTATTTGAGGGTGTCATTCTAATACAGCATTTACGGTATTTTGGAGAATTTCCCGCTTCGTATTTACTCATTTTTGCCAAACAACGATTCTGCTGAGAGGTTGACACCTCTGAACTTATAAAGTACTATAAAAGTACTATAAAAAGCGCAGCATTGTGTTTCTGAGCTAAAAATTGAAATTGACCGCAGAAATTAACTTGAAATTTCATATAAATATCAAATTAGAAGAATTGAGGAATTGGGCGTCGAGTTACAGTCGAAAAACCGAATTTCCACAATTTTGCGCCACCCTGTATATCAAAAATGAAATAGCTGACTTCAGCTCGATGTACACTACTGGACAATGAAATATCATATTTGAAAAAACACTTTCGCACTTTCGCGCGTCTGTAACTCCCTTGTCTTTACAGTATTTCTAAATATTAATATTATCATTGTGTAGCCCTTGAAAAGAGCTTTCAGAAAATGTATAACACTAATAGTTTAAACTCAAAGACAAGGGAGTTACAGACGCGCGAAAGTGCGAAAGTGTTTTTTCAAATATGATATTTCATTGTCCAGTATTGTATAAGTGTTAAAAACGTAGACTCACACGGACCGGCATAGGGCAATGACGCTGAATATGTTAACTAAACGAAATATGAAATGAATGATCACTGGTTTGCTTTACCGTTTGCTCATATTGAGATGACACAAAAAGAAATCCAAGTGAAAGAAAGATTTTAAAGATCATTTCAAAAAAGGGAAGCATAAGAATCTTGAATTATGAAAAAATGGCCGAAAAGTTTTTGCTTTTGTTTTGATGAGCCAGATTTGACGATCATTTTCGTCAAAATATCCCATTTTGTGTGGTTTTGGTGTAATAAAAATTTAATTTGTTTAATTTATTCCTCTTTATCACTGTAATCAAAAGAATTGATTCAATATTGGTATTGTCAGGAATTTAGGGACCATCCATACCTTCTGATCGTTTCCGGCGATACAACCCTGTTAATTTGATCCCTCATCATTTGGCTTCCATCGGTTGGTGTTTTGTTAGGATCGTTTTTCACCATTTGGATCACGGCTCGATCTTCTTTTGTGGTTGTGATTGGTCATCGGCCACTCTTGAGGCCTCGATGAAGGTTTCGGTCGACTTTTGATTGAGAAAGAATGCGGCGCACCGTCCTTCTCGAGCAATTGAAGAGGTTGGCCACATCCTTTTCCCGCATCCCATTTTCCCGGGCCTTGGCGTTTCGGAGTGTCAAGGTTTTTCTTGCCAGCCATCTAAATAATAAAATAAAATACATTTAATGTCCATGGAACGCGAAAATAAAAAGAATAATCAAGGAAAACATCAATGGGACATTACTTTTGTGGAGCTATTTGTTAAGTAACTTATTGTTTTTGTTTTATACTTTCATTTTTCTGCAATGTATACGGATAAATCTTATAATCTTGAAAAGTAGAGTATTATGGGTAAGCAAAATACCCTACACTTTTTGGGAATATCGTTATTTTGCAAGATTTTCGTACGAAAGAAACTTTTGGATGGCAATGGGACAATACATTTGTGGGCCACTGTATATGGGCTTTTTTTCTTTCCAATATTTAGAGCTCAGGAATTCTTTTTTGTTTGTGTTGTTTTTGTATTGTTTTTACTACGTTGTTCGTGTGAGTAAATGTATTCTTTTAAATGAGTTCTCGAGTCTCTTCCGAAAAGATTTTCCGTTGCAATACAAAGGACATTTCGAAAAATCTGTCGACTTGTGTTTGGAGCTAAATTTCTCCACGTAAACTTAATATTTTTGCAAATCCGTTCTACTCATCGTGTAGCTGAGATAAAGCGCCACAATTTGAGGCCCTATTCACCAAAAAAAATAGCGCAATAGTTGACTCTAGAAATCATTTGGCTCAAATGTCATTTTCCTTAGGTGTCGCAAAGGGTATGGTCTCGGAATCAAGTTTTTGTATTTGGCAGACAAATCAAGATAGCCGATAGCATTTTCTCACTATAAAATCCGCTTAATTCATTGTTAATTGTTTAGTTATGGAGACAAATAGTTGACTTCATTGATCACATCATATACAGCTTGAATTCATTTGAAATTTTGAGTTTAATCATTTTTTCTGTTAATAGTTTGTTAATAGTTTGCTACTTTATCTTGCCACCAAACTTCAGCCGCTTTTTTTCTTCTATAAAGCTCACCACATTGATCTCTTTTATGCTAATCTTTTTTCCCCTAGAATAATCGAAAGGTGGAAATAAATCAATTTCCCCGATTCTTTTCTGATAACAGAAATAGAATGAAAGAGAAAAGAACGATTCTTTCAAAAGGGGGTCGATGGAGGTCAACCCAGTTCTCTCATTTCTTTGCACTCTCCTTCCATTCCTTTCTCTTTTCCTTTTCACCAATATCTCTCAAAACCCACAGGCTGTCTCTAAATACTCCTTGTTCACAAAGATACACGTGGTGGTCTTATTAGAAAATTTTCTTTATCTAAAAATATCTTTATTATCCAGTGATTTGTTCTGTCGACCTGATTGAATGGGTATCTTTAAGGATCTTTAAAGTTCCGCCCCATTTCATGCTTCCCAATCCAATATATATTCTAAATTTATTGATAAAGTTAAGTAGTTAATTTTTTGTTTTTCTAATGTGATGTTTCTAATCTAATTTTTCTTTTCTTTTTCTGCCTATACCCAATAATTTTGGCTTAACACCAGCTGAATTTGAACAAAATGTGATGTTTCTAATCTTACCAATCAAAAATCACGATTTCTTTCGAGATAAACAAATGTTTGAATCTTGCAAACAAAATTTTTTGTTAATTTTATTTGATAGAACAGGTTTTCCATGAAATCCTCTTTTTTTTTTCTTTCCCATTTATGTTTTCAATGGTGGGTTTTATGCTCGTGACCTTGTGAGAAAGCGATGGAACAGAGATCCCTTGATCCGAGAATTTTATTGGTTTCCCCCTTTTTGTTCAAAAAAATAGATTTTTTTCTAGTTTCACACGTGTTTTAGTACTTATTTTGTTAATTTTTATCAAATCGAGCGTTTTTAGGATGAAGATCGCTGTGATTGGTCAGAGCGCCTTCGGAGTTGACGTCTACAAGGCAGTCAGGTAAAGCTTCTAAATCTTGTTAAAATCGCAATTTTTACTTAAGGGTGTAAAAGATATCTTAGTAATAATAATTTTTTTTATTTTTCAGAAAAAATGGTCACGAAGTGGTGGTGGTTTTCACGATTCCCGACAAAAATGGACGCGAAGATCTTTTAGGTAATTCTTTGTTTAGATAAAAGTTTTTGACAATTTAGAAATGTCTGTAGTATTAAGCTTATTCATAATATTCTAATAAAATTCTATAAGAACGAAATTTTAGCGCTGGAAGCAAAGAAAGATGGTGTCCCGGTGGAGAAACCCTCGAGATGGCGTCAAAAGAATGCGGCCGGGAAATTTGAGGTAAACTTTAAAAACAATCTAATCATTCTAATCAAATTGTGCAGATTATTCCCGATATGCTTTCGTTGTACACTTCCTACGGAGCTGAACTGAATGTCCTCCCATTTTGCACTCAATTCATTCCATTGGAGATCACGGAGGCTCCGAAATTCAAATCGATTATCTACCATCCATCAATCTTGCCAAAACATCGGTATTAATTCATTTTTAACATTTACCTCTTTCCAAAATACTCTAAAACTAAAGCAAAACCTACCGTAAATACTCTAAAAGAAGCCTTAGATCCTAGACTACGCGACGCTCCTATGGGGGAGCTTTTATTAGAGTACCAAAAAGCCCATGTAAAGTACCTTAAGCTAATAAGTAATTATAGGTAAAGGTAACTTGCTTAAAGAGAATCAAAACCACAATTTTTTACAATAGAGTAAGATAATATTGAATAAAATCATCATTTTGATGGAGATATTTACCATTTATTAACAAAAATCATTCAACTGTTAACAAAATATTTAACTCCTGTTGAAACAAATCAAAAGTCCTGTTGATTTTCCTTTGCAATTCCTCAATTTGAGTCCGAAAAGCATCAACTGTTGTAATCCTGGTTTAAGTATCGGCCTAAACAAAAAAATCTAATCATAAGCACAAAGAAAAATAATAAACATCAACGCGTCCAGATAAACCATTTCCAGCGCGCACCGATTGGTCTAAAAAAAATCAACTCACAAAGCTTAATGTATTAGATTGATGTATAAGTCTTTACAATTTTTTTCAAAACCTCTTAAAAATAATGCTGCCACAAACAAAATTTCTATTTGAACTATTAAAAAGGTTAATTGTTTCTCTGCAAAATGGCTTTTGGGAAATTTTCGGAAATTGTTGTTTTTGTGGATTTTCAAAGGCGCAAAGGCGAACACCCCAAAACTGCTCTGATGCCGAAGTCGCAATTTGGACACTTTCTTCAATACAAACCTATTTTGGTGCTAAATTAAAAAAGATAGAGCTCATTTTATTACACAAGTCCGTAAAATTTAAAAACGATCTGTCCAGTGATTTTCTTTAAAAAAGTAATGGAAAATTTTACACAAAAATGAGTTATCGAGTTGAGGCGAGCTTTGAGCTTTCTCTCAAAAGCCATTTTGTAGAGAAATGATAGACCTTTTTAATAGTTTAGGCCGCAACAAAGGATTCTTTTCTGTGGGAACAAAAATTTGAAATACAAACCTTATGCACCAACCTAATATCTGCAAAAGTTTTTGAAGTTTATCTCGTTGCGTCCAGATGAGCCATTTCTATTCAATTATTCTTCCAAGTAGTTGATTCGAGCTAAAAGTGATCTTTGACCGTCTCGATGCGAAGCCAACCTTCTGATAGGCGCCATCCTAAAAAAGTACAATAGAAAAAGATAATACAAAGTGAGAGGGAACACAAAAAGAAACAGAGCAGAATTGTTTACGTCAAGCGCACAAAACTTTCTTTCCAATGACTAAAATAACCGTAACCCATGTTAAGCCCGTCTCCTTTTTAAAAAAGCGGACCTAAAATTCAGATTTCCCATAGCTGAAAATCCCTGAAAGCAAAATATCGCGCGCAAAAGCTGAATACTTTGCCTTTTAACCGATTGGGCAAACGTAATTAGGAGCGTCGCGTTTGCGTGCAGACAGACCTCTCTTCAGCTTTATAAATAGTAAATTTACGGTAAACACATTTAGTGGAGCTTCGGCGATAAACTGGACATTGATCGACGGTGATGAAGAGGCTGGATTGTCGATTTTCTGGGCCGATGATGGACTTGATACTGGGCCGATTCTCCTTCAGAGAAAATGCAAGGTAGGAAGGTTTCCTAAATGAAAAGCTAAAGCTTTAATTTTAGGTCGAAGAAAACGACACATTGAACTCATTGTATAAGAGATTTCTCTATCCAGAAGGTGTTACAGCAATGGTTTGTGAATTGGGATTGAGAAATTTGCAGGGAAAGTGTTTTAGGCTGAGGCTGTGGAGATGATTGCTGCGGGAACAGCTCCGAGAATTGTGCAACCAGAAGAAGGTATGGGAATTCAATACAAACAGAAAAATATCTATCTAACAACTAGACTGATCAAGTACGAGATGCTATTCATTTAGGAGCCAGCTATGATCCTTACATAACTACAAAACCCGAGTTGGCTGAGATTGATTGGAAGAAAACTCAATGGCAACTTCACAATTTCATTCGTGGAAATGATAAGGTAACTTTTAAAAGCAATTCTAGTAGCAAAAAAATCAAAAATCTGTTTTTCTTAGGTTCCGGGTGCTTGGGCGACACTGAATGGAGAGAAAGTTTCCTTCTTTGATTCAACTTTGTGGAAAGAGGTTTGTTGAAAATTTTTGAAAGATTTGAAATCAAAATCCTTGTCAAGTTAAAGTTCCTGTCTTATTAAACATATGTAAGTTCATAAATTTTAGGATAAACTCCCAGAAAACGCTCTTGAAGTTGTAGTCGATACTGTTCCTGGTGGAAAAGTCTTCGCTCATGATGGAGGACTTTTATTGCCGGCTTCTGATGGGAAATTTGTAAGTGAACAAAAAAACCTGATAGAAAACGTCAATAAAATTTAGGTAAACGTGGCTACAATCAAAATCGGTTCAAAACAAATGCCTGGGAATAAATTTGGTCTCGCTGAAGAGGGTGGAGAGAAGCTCACATTGACACCGGAGGAAGAAAAAGTTGCCGAGAAGGTCAAGGTAGGACAAGTTTGAAGTTTATTCAACTATTTCATTAGTACTAAATTTCAGTATAATTTTTAAACATTTAGGAGATCTGGGCAGGAATTCTGAAGAGTCAAATCGACGACTCGACCGATTTCTTTATGAGTGGAGCCTCTTCAGCTGATGTGACTCGATTGGTTGAGGAAATCAAATTCCATACCGGAATCGAGATTGAGCCAGCTGATGTAAGAATTTGAGCTTATTGATAATAAGATTTTACGTCCGTTATTGAATTGTTCAATCTATACAGGGTTGAGCAAAATTATCCGGAAAACTTTTTGGAAAAGTAGTTGTCGCACACTTAATTTACTGCAAATTGTCAAGTGTAGATGATATAAAAAATCTTCAAAGCATAGGTTGAACGATTCAAAAACGGACATCCGATTCTGAATCTGAATTCAATAACGAACGTAACAAATATACTTTTTCTAGGTCTACGCTGGACCGACTTATGGCGAGAATGTGACTGCGGTGGTGAAGAAGCAACGCGGGGGAGACAATGTGGAGATCGTTTATGATGCGGTAAGTTGGAAATAAAGTTCTGCAATGATAAAAGGATTGTAAAGCGTGCTCAAAATCGATATTCAGATTGAACTCGATGTGAACCATATGAAGTTGAAGTTTCCCCATGAGCTGTTCATCGACGGAAAGTTCCAGGCATCATCGGTGAGTTAGTTACCATGTTTGTTAAATGTCAATAGAAGAGCCCCCTTTAGACGAAATTTTTCAACTCTCGAATAGCAAAATGCTCAACTTTTTAAGACTTTTTTAAGAATTCCAAAGATTTTAAATAATAGTTATAGACTAAAAAAGCTTAATAACGTCGAAAACCGGATGAAAATCCAACAAAAACACCTATTTTTAAGCTCTTGAAAATTTAGGCCTAGTAGCACGAAAAAGAATTTTAGAGGAACATTGAAAAATAGAAGAACCAGCTCTTCTATTAGAATGTTTAGGCTAATGTTATTGTGCTTAAGACTAAAATAAACACAACTACTGTCAACTCTTTCAGTCTGGTCGCACTTACGAAACGATCAATCCGGCCACCGAAAAAGTGATTTGTTCTTTACCCAAAGCTAATGTCGAAGATGTCAACAAAGCCGTTGCTGCAGCTAAAAAGGTTATCCACTTTTTAGAATTTTAAAATGAAACCTATAAATAGACGTTAAGAATCTAGATATAACTTTTCTTCTTAGGCTTTCGAGGAAGGAGAATGGTCGAAAATGTCCGCACGGGAAAGAGGAAAGCGACTATTCAAATTGGCGGATCTGATGGAACAACACAAGGTAAATTTTGGATATGAAACTTTAGAAAAACAGTAAATATTAAATATTAATTAATTCATTCATTCATTCATTCATTCACATCAACAATTCAGGAAGAATTGGCCACTTTGGAGTCAATCGATTCGGGTGCTGTCTACACATTGGCTTTGAAGACTCACGTTGGAATGTCGATTGATACTTGGAGATATTTTGCCGGATGGTGTGATAAAATTGAAGTAAGTATTTCATTGAAGTAAGTAAAAGGATTTCAGATCAAGAATTGTTGTAAGCATTCCATTTTTTAAACTTTCAGGGCACCACAATTCCAATCACCGACGCTCGACCGAACAAAAACCTTTGCATCACAAAGAGGGAACCCGTTGGAGTTGTTGGTTGGGTTTTCTATTTTCTAAAGATTATTTCTAGATTCTCAAGGTTTTCTAAAGATTATTAGGCATTGTTTCAACAAAATTAGATAATTTTTAGGTTTAATTACCCCATGGAATTACCCATTGATGATGCTCTCGTGGAAGATGGCTGCTTGTTTAGCTGCTGGGAATACAGTTGTTCACAAACCAGCACAAGTACGTGATGTTACTCTTGACCAACAATAAAATTAGATGTAATAACTTATTTATCAATAAATTTTAGGTGACTCCATTGACTGCTCTCAAATTCGCCGAGCTCACTGTGAAAGCTGGGATCCCAGCCGGAGTTGTTAACATTGTTACCGGATCGGGTGCAGAAATTGGAGAGGCCTTGGCCAAACACATGTCAGTATTAAATAAAACAATAGATTTATAGTACCTTAAAAATTTCGTTTTCTAAACGCATAATTTCAGGGATGTCCGAAAGTTGGGCTTCACTGGAAGTACCGAGATTGGGGCACATGTTATGGCAAGGTATATTAATATTTTATTCATGAAAAAGTGATGAAACATGTTTAATTGGCAAAATGACACATAGTAAACTTATTGAAAACGAGAAGAGAAAAGCTGTAGAGACTAAAGAATAAATTAATTCTATTCAGATTCAAGTTCAACGACTAGCTAGCAATAGTTCAAAGTTTTTTTTGATGTTATGAATTTTAAAATTCCAATCACCTAAAAGCAAATTGTTCTTAGAAATATGTAAGAAAGACTATAAAATCTACTCTCATTAGTAATGTTTAGAGTGACGTTTAGTAACGTTTAGAGAGCAATCCGGAGATCTATACATTTAAAACAAACGTATTTTAAATAATTTAAGCAAATCAATAACTAAAATTTCAACATGATTGCTTTTTCATGAGTAACAAAAGAATTTGATAGAAAAAAAAGGTCAATTTCAACAAGAAAACAAGAACAGAATAAGAAAATTGGAAAGTGAAAGCAGTTAACGATAGAAACGCAAGAAAAAAACGAGCTGTAAACTATATTTTTTAGCTGTGCTCTTTCGAACATCAAGAAAGTTTCGCTTGAATTGGGCGGCAAGTCTCCACTGATCATTTTCGCTGATGCTGATATGGAAAAAGCTGTGAAACAAGCCTGCACTTCGGTGAGTGAAAATGAAATTCATTATAAAGGCAACTCTTAAAATATTTAAAATTAATCGACAATTTGAATCAATCAAGACTTCAGGTTTTCTTCAATAAAGGTGAGAACTGTATTGCCGCTGGTCGAATCTTCATCGCCAAGTCGATTCATGATGATTTCGTAAAGAAAATGGTTGAGGAGACGAAAAAGGTAACAAAAAGACATTTGTATTGTGCAACCTTTTGAGTTTAGATTCTGATTGGCGATCCATTAGATCGGTCCACTGGTCATGGACCTCAAAATCACAAGGCTCACATGGAGAAGTTGATTGAATACGTGCAAAAATCGGTGAAAGATGGAGCCAGAGTGAGTATAAAGAAATAAACAATTAAACAATTAAAACTTTAGATTGAAATTGGCGGCGGTCGAGCTGATCGTGAAGGACTTTTCTTCCTACCCACAATTCTTTCCAACATTGACGACAAGAATTTCGCGGCTACCGAGGAATCATTTGGGCCGATTATGTGTGTGAGCAGCTTTGATGACAAGTTTGTTTTCACCTTTTGTTTCAGTTTGTTTTTTTGCTTTACGAGATTTATTTCAAAATGATCTTACAAGCAGTGAAATTTTCAGTGATATCGATGGTGTGCTTCGACGAGCGAATTCAACCGAATATGGACTTGCCGCTGGAGTTTTCTCAAAGGTAAGCTCAGTCTAGGGAAAGCAAAACAACTTCTAAAAGTACTGTAGGTATATTATCAGATTTGGCTATAAATATTTATAACTATTAATATCAGAACTTTAAAATGCTCATTAACACATTTGCGACAATACGCCCACTAGGCCGTACATAGATATAGCACTTCTTTGAGGCCGATTGAGCTGAAAATTTGCACCAGGGGATTTATGGGGTGAAAGAATTCAGATCTGTTATTATTTTTTAAAGAAAATTCTATAATGGATTCAAATTCACCATCCCAGAAAGACTTTTTCAGGTTTACAAATTTTAGACTACAAATTTTCAGACCTAGAGCTAATATAGCTGTCGAAACGGCAGCCAAGACAAAAATGGCTTTGTCGTGAATATGTTAAACAATTTACCTTTCAGGACATTTCTAAAGTTCTCCGTGTCGCCGACAAATTGCATGCGGGAACAGTCTTTGTAAACACCTATCAAAAGACTGATGTTGCCGCTCCATTTGGAGGATTTAAACAATCCGGATTTGGAAAAGATCTTGGTAAATCATCAACACGCACACCAGATAACTCTCAAATTTAGGCCGAGAAGCTCTCAACGAGTATTTAATCACAAAGACGATAACCATCGAGTATTGATTTCAAGATTTGGCTCTTGCGTAGTTTTCGGGTATTTTGAACGGATCGTCACGCTTTAAAGCCCTATAACTTTGTACAGAGATAATATTTTTGCTAACTTTTTATATCATTGTACAGAGGACATTTCATGCTTTCAAATGCTATCAAATAGAGCTTGACTGGATTTTTTATTCCCATGAAAACCAGGCGACACGACATCCGAGTTGAATAGACCTCATTTGCTCAGAGTTGGTTCTGATTTTCTTGGACTGGCTTATCCAATAAAGCTCTATTTGATACCATTTGAAAGTCTGAAATGTCCTCTGTACAATGATATAAAAAGTTAACAAAAATATTATCTCTGGACAAAGTTATAGGGCTTTAAAGCGTGACGATCCGTTCAAAATACCCGAAAACTACGCAAGAGCCCCAGATTTTCATTCACTTACTACAAAATTGTGATAATTTGTCCAAATTCGGGCAATTTTTTTTTGATGGGTCTTAATAAATGTTGATAGGAAAACGCAAGAAACATAAAAGTTTCACAATTAGAGAAAGTTTTTCATTTATTAAACATGATGAAAGCTAAAAAAACTTTAAAAGATCCTTTTTCTTTTCATCTTTTCTTTTCATCATCATACTTCTTGGACCTAATTTTAGGTTGGTTTTTGTAAGAGGTTTTCCTTCTTTTTCTTCATTTGTCGATCGGATTTTGTGTGCGCGAAATAATGGCCTATGCAGCTGTCACCAAGAAAAAAATGTACAAGAGACAAGAAAAAGAGCACACAAAAAAAAGAGCCATTAAAAAGATACTGATGTGACAAGAAGAATAAAAAAAAGGGAAGATTTTTCAAACAGATGGACATACTGATCAACTGGATTTATGGATTTTCTTGTACTGGATTTTCTGTACTTGTACTTGTACAACTGGATTTTCTTCTACTATTCAAAATCACTCTTTTTTTAAGTCTACACTTTTTTTAAAAAACCAATTACAAACAATTTAAGCGATATGTACTTTTGATTAAAAGTTTTCTAGTTATAGAGAAGTCTCTAAAACTCGATTTTCTTTAAGTTATCAACTCCAAAATCTTACCATTCGATCCTTTGAGATTTTCTTGACATTGAAACGATCTCTAATCCGAAAACGACCGTAATCACCCACCAATCAAGAGCTATCATCTATTTGGGGATTTCTAGAGATCGAGGGATTTGTCTCTCTCAAATCTTTACTGAAAAGAAAAGAAAAGAAAAGAAGTCATCTCAGTCTCTCCAATCTTTTCCCCCTTTTTTCGAAACGAAAAGACTTTTGGGAGATAAGACCTAATCTCTAAATTGCTTTCGAAACGAACGAATGACTTTTGAATTTAAGAGTTAAAGAAAAAAAAAGAAAGAGATTGGATGAGTCCCTTGTAATGATGAGTTTCCCTTGTAAAACAAAACAGGCTTCATTTTGGGCCAAAGCTCTTGTTGCCAACTGGTTTTATATATGGCTATCCGTCCGTTCGTCTGTCTGTACAGCCTTTTTCTCAGCCGTCTATAAGCCTTTTCTTTCCTTTTCTTCTTGATCGATCTTCCTCTGAAATCTTCTCGAATCTTTCCATTTCTTGTCACCAATCCATATGGCTTTCCAATCTCATCTTTTTGTTTTCAGATCCCTTGTAATGATGAGTTTCCCTTGTAAAACAAAACAAGCTTCATTTTGGGCCAATCTGTTGTTGCCAACTGGTTGTAACATGATCTGGAAACAAGTTTTCCCATTTCCTATTGCTGCCACTTGAGGGCATCTGGCCGAGTTTTGTTTATAATCATAAAATGGAAAGGAGAAATTTTGGAAAAAGAGAGAATAAACTGAGTGATCTTGCTTTACGGAGAGATTAAGGAAAAGAAATGAAGAGGCTTCTGTTGAAGGAGTTTTCCACTGTTTAGATAAGAACTAATCTTCTGCATCCTATTGGGATACTGTAGATTCTTGAAGCTTTTTGATACTAAGTTTTTGGAAGCTTAAAATTTAAGTGTTGTGCTGAATCTGTCAGCTCTCGAGTGTTGAAACTGAACCTATCAGCTGTTTTACTTTATAATCTTTGTCTTTGTCTCTTTGTCGTTATGCGTTGAGTTTTGCAAAAGCTTTTTACTCATGTCTTCTTTTTCAATAGCTTTTCATGATCTTTTCATGATCTCATCCAAGATTTCTTTTCCTACTTCTTATTGTCATCAACTCTTCAATCTCATTCATTTCTTAACCTCAAATCCCCCATCCTCTCAATCCTAATCGACTCCCGATCCACATAAATACCGTATCCCCATTGAATTGAATATGAAAAAGATTGAAAAGCAAAGGTAGTCGTGAAAAAGAGACTCAATCATGCACATTATGTTTGGAAGAAAATGGGGAAAGAATGGTCTGTTGAGTGCTCCTCCAGGCGGTCGGTAAGATAATTTCAGCCGATGAGAAATGGGGAGACTACATTGCAGATCCATTCTTTTCTTTTCTTTCTTTTCTTTCTTCCATCTCAAACACAATAGGATGAATGACAGGGTGACACCGGGTGGTCACAAAAAGCCCACACCCACCAGTCAGAGAATCCTTGAGATTGGTGATCCTTGAGATTGAGGTGAGAGGCTATGATTGGTTTACGAGAAAGGGTACTGTAAGGAGTTGATCTCCTTACAGTTGATCTGCCTACGATCAAGCGATTGCCTTTGAACTGTTTAAAGAGTTAAGATCTGAAAGAAAGAGGAATTGCAATGGAGTTGAGCCTTGCTTTTGAGTGTATCTTGGCTCTTGGCTCTTGGCTTATAGGTCTTCTAGCAAAGCTAAACTAAACTTCTAACAAAGCATGGATCAAGTTGATTGATTTGCATACGAGCAATGCTTTCAGTTTCTTGAAACGTTTAATACAGGGTTGAGCATTCGCCTCCTTTAACACTAGCAAAGAATTTGTCGAAGTCCCTCAACTACTAAGTACCTCAACCTCAACCTTAACTCAATCCCATCACCAATTCTAACTATTAAGTTTGGCATTTGATGGATTTTGAGTTCACTGTCATATTTTCTAAAATTTCTATATCTCCCCAAAAAGATTCGACCCAAATTCAACGTATGGTTGACGATGGAAGGGGAATTGAGAGAGGCTCAATTATCTCTCCTTTCTTCTTCTTCTTCTTCTTCTGTATATGGTCGCCGAGGGAAAATTGGCGTGGTAAGGAGTCTAGGTAAGGACATTGAAAAAAGAAAGGTAAAAAGGGATAGATTCTAAGGTGAGTAGGAAGAGAGAAAGGAAAAAGGAATTTGGATGGGTTGTTAGCCTCTTCACTCATCTTTTTTTTTGTAGCCGATCTCTGCGTTGAATGGAGTCTTCTCAGAAACCTTGACTCAATTGTTCTTGACTTTAGATCGAAAGATTTTTGAATAGAGTCATCTCAAAGCCGGCTAGTCTTCTGATCCTTTCAAATCAGCCGAGCTAATTGGAGTCGTGAGATAAAATATGGGAAACGAGGTCATGAAGGAAGGTGAGGAATTTGTTTATTCGATGTTTTGTTAGAATTGAGATTTGGTTGAGAAGATTCTGGATTCCGTTAGCTTGTTAGCTTAGCTTCGGGGTTCGCCTTGCGTCCTTGCGTCCTGGATCCTTCATTCTGTTCAAGAACATTCTGGATCAGTCAAAATGATCTAAAACACTAACACTTCTTGAAAAAGCAAAAGAAAAACCGAAGCGGGATCGAACCTGTGAAACTTAGAACTAGGGCTCGCTTTAGAAACTTAGGGCTCGCTTTAGAAACAAGGGCTCTACCATTCGGCCACCTCCGCGTAAGATCTGCCGCTCCACGACAGCAACAAGAAGGACGCAAGGACGCAAGACTAACCCCCAAGCTAAGCTAACAAGCTAACAGAGTCCTAACAAAACTTTAGACACTTTAAACTCTTGACAGATTGTCATTTGCCAAAAACGGAATACATATTTGGATCAGCAAAAAATTCTGCGTGAAATGGCTATAGATCCGTAGCATTTGGCCGGCTCAGTCTGTTCAAAATCTTGTCCAATTTGGTTGGATTTGGTTGAGAAGATTCTGGATTCCGTTAGCTTGTTAGCTTAGCTTGGGGGTTCGCCTTGCGTCCTTGCGTCCTGGATCCTTCATTCTGTTCAAGAACATTCTGGATCAGTCAAAATAACCTAAAACACTAACAGCAATATGGATCGCGTAGCATTTGGCCGGCTCAGTCTGTTCAAAAATCTTGTCCAAATTGTTTTCCTCTCAAAATTTCATGTTTTCTATCAAAAAATCGTCCCTCAAACAGTAATCAGCAATATTGTTGATTGATTTCCCAATCGAAATCGAAATCCTCTTCACTGATCACTCACTGTTTGTCTCCATATCCGACTATTCACGGGGGGACTCTCCCCAATCGGCATGTGATCAAATAATCGACACCGATTGAGAATTGAAGTGGATTTGGAGAAGAGAAAAAGAGAGGAGCCAATCAGAGCATATAGGAGAGCAGAACAGGCAACCGATTGCAATCGAAATTTTTCGATTAAATGATTTCCAACAATCTCTCTCTCTTTCACAATTCACCACAATTGTCTTTTCCTTTTTTTTTTCGATTTCAGTATCTAACAAGTTTCCAGTATTTCAGTATTGTTTACATAATAATCCTAGTTGCATAATTTACTATTACTATTACTGTACTGTTACTGTAAGAGCTTCAAATCTCGTGCTAACCTTTCTGCTTTCCTTTTATTCAATCATTGCCTCTATAGCTTGCCTTCAATCATTGCCTTCAAATCCCTCACAAATTCAAATCGATAATCGATATCCAATCAAATCACATGTGGATGTTGTCGATCACAGTGGGGTTATTTCAGTGGAAAAAGCGGAAAGAGAGCGATTTGGGATTACTGGCTAACAGCGCGCAATCTGGTCCCATCCCCCACCCTTTTTCCTTTCAACGCTAACATCTGCTGTTAGGCATACAGCCGGACTCAAATTATTAGAGCCAAGCGCAATCCACAGAC